CTCTGGGACCAGTATTCGGAAATATAAGGCTTCTCCTTTGCAACAAAATTGTAGCAAAGCAAATTTATCCAGATATCAACAAGTTACGACTTTTAAAAATGAAACGTTAGAATTCTCGGACTGACCTAATGTATGCTGAAGGTCAAGAAATGGCCTTGCCTTGATGGAACTCCAAATTGTGACTAACATCTATTTTTCTAGAACGTGCCAATTATTTGTGGGATTACTATGTGGTAGAGGTTAAAACTAATATTTCTGGGAATATTAGGTCCAAAGCTCGGCACAGGTGGCTCAGGAAGCTGGATATTGTTTTTGGATAAGAAGCAAAGGGATTTTCGTTTTTGTGCCCTGAAAATACACAATTTACAACTTTCTTTTTGTCGACGTCTCGGTTTTTGGGGTTTTTTTAAGGATTATGGTCTAGGGTCGACTTCGTAAAAATTTGCAGAATTCAAGGGGGGGGGGGGGGGCTTTGCTTTTTGCATTTTCAACTAGCCACTCGTGCCGAGCCCTGATTAGGTCTCGGTAATACACTTGAAAAAATTTGGATTTTATCAAGAATGAACCTAAATTTCGCTACTTGAATGGGGCTCATACCATGTCCATTTTTTCATAACTTCTATCCATAGAATATTCATGCACATGCTGATAGGTACTTTTTCAAGGTATAATACTAGGTTGGCTAAAAAATAAGTTCGTTTTGGCGTTTTGTTCTTATCCATGATTCTTTGTGGGAAAGTAGCTTAGAGCTTCCTCTATCGCGTACCAAATGTTCAGGATTTTCTATCATTAGTAAAGACCTTTAAGCCTAAATATGGTTGAATTACCGAAAACTTGATCCTTCGACTTCTTAAGCTTCGTGTTCAGGCTGTAATAGATGCGAAGAACAGATGTTTGGTACAGAGGAATCTTCTCAATTTAGTGAATAACAATAGAAATTGTGATATGCCACTTTGGAAATCTTCTATCAATAAAAAAACCAAAATTCGTATAGTATAGTACCACTCTGACACTATGCATAAATGCATACTGTAAGATAGCTGCACCAAAGATCAAACATGGATGCAGAGCCTTCCAAAGAAACATACATTATTGTGCAATAGAGATAACCACGGATTATCTTGCCTCACATCCAAATTACACCTGTCGCGCATCTGCAAGTAGCGGAATCCACAAAGAGGTCACTCGTTCGTGATCTTTGGTCACACTATAGAAAAAATTGACGGTAAATTTAGACTTTGATTGGGCTATGCGTCTTCCCAAGACATACGTGAATGGTAAATTAAAAGTTTCAGCCAGCGTTGCTGATGAAGCAGAGCATTTTTCGTATATAATATCAGGGTGTTCCATAATTCTTACCGCTTTTATATTCTCTTGCAATTAATATCATATTCTCTGTTTTCTAAATAGCTTGTGCGGGACTATTCGACAATAATATCGCACAATATTTGCTCAAAATTTGTTTTACATAAAGTTCGAAAACGAAATAAAAAAATCATTTACTGAAAAAGTCGAGAAATCTTGTCTCCGTTCAGATGTCCTACAAGCGTCCTACCTGTTCATGCATAAACTCTCTGAATGTGGTACTGATAAAGTTGTTGATCTTTTCCATTGCCAGAACTCGAGAAACATACATACAGCAAAATAGGCCAAAAATAAGAATAAAGTTGTTTCTCATGGGGTTTTTTGATCCGAATTTTATTTATCTCAAAAATATTGACCATAAAGCCAGAGGTTCACAATATGATGTTATCTAGATGGGAGCAAAACTATCTTTTTCTCCATTTTTAGCCATGGAGAAAATAAGCAAATGTATGTATGAATGCCGAATATGGATAGTAAATGCCTGAACAAGTAAGAACTCCGTAGGAATTTTTCGAATGGAGATACGATTTTGCTTTTCGGGGCAATCATGATCATCTTAAATTTTTGCTTCGAGCTCTATGTCAGACTTAGAGCGAATGTTTGAGAACTCTCATGTAGAGCTTGCTTTGCTCCGTCGAGTACCGGAAATCAATTTATTATTTATTCATCTAATTTGAAATAACAAAAAGAATATGTTCCTGTATATATTCTTCCTGCGGACCACTAACAGCTTCATCACGGTGAATCAACGACTTTCGAAGAAGACGACCTTGTCGAAACGTTAGGTCAATAAGGATTCCACCGTACCGATCTGGGCTTGGCAGAAAATCTATTTATATTACAAATTACGAAATAAGATGCCTAGATTCAGAGAAGAGAGAACCTGGAGTTTAACAAAAAGAATAGTTTTTGAGAGAGAAAGCAAAAGCGGTAAAAAATATGGGACACCCTTATGGATGGAGAAGAAGGAAATGAGGGAGAAGAGAAAATGTCCTTGTAGGAATCTGTATGTATTGTCAATCGGCAGCAGAATCCTTTAAAACTATTTGTAATTTACATTTATATATATTATTTATTATAGCACCTAGTGCACCAACACAATTATACCGATATAAATGTGTAAACATTTGATTCCAACATTAAACATGAAACCTTACTAAATCACAGAAATGATCAAATAGAACTGTCAGTCAGGCAAAGCCAGTTTGAAGCTATTTTACTAGAGCAATATATTTCGAATTAATTCTTTTCATATTTTAATTCTATTCATATTTCTAATTTATCCTATTGGTTTGAATGGATTATTAGCTTACAACTCATGATGCAAGAGTTAAAAATTCCTTCCTTTCATGTTTGAAGAAAAGCACGTGGTGTTCCATCTTCTTCGCCGACTTCCTTCGCTGAAGGAACTAGCTTCTTCAATTTAATGCAATCTATCAAACTTCGACTTTGACCATGTCGCTTAGCTTTCTGATTAGCGAATTCAACCCTGACTCACTTTCTTTGTTACCTCTTTCGATTCGCCACATAAAGCCATGCAAACACATCCCTGTCGTGCTTCTTAACCTACCGCCACCTTGGCTACCACAACCACCGCCACCAAACAAAACCGTCTCAGCGCCGTGTCGCTGCTTCGGCGAACGTGATCTGTGATGCCACCATGGTTGACGTCCTGTCCGTCGTGTTCTCGTCCACCATCTCCAACCGCGAAGACCCACCGGCAGGAAATCGACAGACTTCCTCTTTTGTGTATTACATACCTCCTCTATCCTTAACATTTTCTGTCCAGCAACTCTCTCAGAGATTTTACTCATTTATGGTAAATTGTGAACGTTAGCGAGTGTTTTTTCTATCCTATACGATGTAATTTTATGATGCGTTTACCGGTTTCCATAGGTGCATTTGCTCTATTCCCTAAAGTCTTCAATAGTGCATTTTGTACTGCCTCATATATTTTAACGAATCGAAAGTTACGTTAGTTAGTTTTACCAACGTATGGACAGTTATTCTTTATTATAATCATAAAAGTAATTTGCGGTTTCTTTGAACTTATTCATTCTGTTCTGCACCCACCACGATGGCCTATAAAACCCATGTTCTTCATTTTTGACTTTCTTGGATTTCAGAGCATCTCCGCTAAACATGCAACGCCTTTTCTTTGCAGCAATAAATTGGAATAAAAAATACAAATACCTAGAAAGAAAGTTCTGCAGTTTCTCAGAGTATCAATGGGAATTGGTCTTTGTCCTATTGTGGCTTCAATATTACCGATAAAAATGTGACTAAAAAAAGGCGACTTTGATTTATAACTTTGCCTTCAATGGAATAACTTTGATGAATGACTGATATGCGGAACAGGAAGTGAAATATGAGCGCCTATATCTTCTAACCCAAATATCGCCTCTCCAGTTCACATCAAAGTTTTTAGATAACATTACGACGCCTAGTTTATAAAACCATGCCAAAGTTTTGCCTATATCAAGCGAATAAGAACAAAATACTTGAAAGGATTCACTTTGGTCAGCCTTGAATTTATGAATATCCACTGATTGCTTGAAAATCTAGTAATTGGTACACAAAAGTGTAAAGCAGACATATCAGGCGCTGAAATAAATTTATATTAAGCCACGGTATACTCGTCAATTATGATGAAAATAGTACTACTGACCAAACTTTGTACTTTACTGCTAATGATACATTCGCGCAAAGAGTCACTAAACATGAGATTTTTTAGTTTCTTCGTATCGGAAACGGGTCTCAGCTATGAATAGACAGACATGGGACGACTAGAAATTTCTATGTTTGCTCATCCTAATCTAATTGTTCCATTTTTGAGGAACCCAGACATACGATCAATCACTCCCTTCAGTTTCGTTAGCGGAAAAGTTGAAAAGCTTCTTGAGTTCGCACAGAAATATTTTTTTAACCTGCGTGAAACTGTCATTAATAAAAATGCACCAATCTATACTTCATCCTCTTACTTTGTCCATTGCGTGCTTACCTTTCAAGGATGTAAATACATAAGGAGAAGGTAACTGACTGCATGGTTTCCAACTAGAACAATCCATTTCTTTCTAAAAAATGCGCACAGGGTAGATAGACAAAAAGTTGATTGATGACAATGTTCTTATTGTTGATCACGGGCTCTTCTCGTCGAATTCGATCAAAGTCGATTTTAAGGAAATTTATAGCGAACGGTTTCCCACCTTTGCCGTATCGTGCTCATAAAACTTCTGTTCCAGTAATTTGTTGCTTATGTACCTTAAAATCTCGGTGTTTGAATATTTGGGAAAACCAAGAATTTTTTTCTAGTATTTTATGTCAATTTCTTATGCGCCCTTGATTTGAGACGTCAATTATGAATGGCAACTTTTTATCATAGATTCTATGGGCTAAATTATACTCATAGGCTACCCTACACAATTCAGTTGTACATCGCATCCGTAACTGTTTTATTTTGAGAAAGGTGAAAAAACATTATTGACATTTACTAACCATATATTTTTACTGCGCTAATATAGAACCTACTGTCTGCTTTTAACGACGATCATTTTCTTTGGATGTATATGATGAAAAACATTTTTAGGAGTTTATTATGAATTCCATAGTCTATCCTATGCTTGAAAACATGATAAATGAGAAAACTCAATTATCTTGGAAAAGAACTTTCAGTCACATTTGAAGAGACAAAAGGTCAGGGAACATTTTTGAAATCAGTCTGATCACTTCTGCATAAGACAAAAAGGAACATAAATATGATTACCCAAGGTGCGCACGCAATGAAGTCTGGGTAAATGTTTGATAATTTGCTTAAAGCAAAAAATGAAACATTTTCTGGTCGCTGAACATTTCAAATTTTTTCTCTTGGTCCAGTATGGTTCGTCCACATGGAACAATTGTTTTATCTTGATCTATTTGGTCGAACTTGAGGCTTGATGAGCACGTTTTCCTCAGTTACTATTAACAACAATCTAAGAAATAATAGATCAACAAAATAGTCGGGATTCTAGTTGATACAAATGGTAACCGATAATAGCTTTATTTTATATTAACTTTATATCTGTTATCCGAATTTTTTTGCAAATGTTCCGTCGTCAATAACAATCAGCATGCCCAAGCTCGAATTGTAAGGTCCGCTGTTCCTTCGAAATACGAACAAACTCAAAAAAGTACGAATGCGAGTGTTTTTTTGCGTTTTCTCAACCCTTAATAGGCATAAACAAAGTCGAATGTACTCTCCCTTCTACTTTGCCACTTGTAATATCTTCTTTATCGCGATTAGAGTGTATTCTTTGTTCTGTTCCACCTTGGACTTCTGATTGTAAGTCAACAAAGAGGCCTTAAACTTTAGACTGTGACCACTCTTTAGTGAGAGGCTTTCATTACTATGCGTCAATAGTGTTTGAGAAAAGCAGCCGGAATTATTCTAGCAGTAACCTACTCTTATACTCTTTGCGAAGTGCTAACTCTGACAAAGTAGAGAAGCAAATTTCTCAGATTCTTATAAGGTGCCTTAACTCCTCTTCAGTGAAGAGAGTGGCGGCGTTCAATCATCATGAGTTTTTCTGACAAATTTTTGCGGTCTTTGTTTCTTTGTTGGTATTGTTTGTCCATTACGACGACGTGTCTTTTGCAGCGCTGTTTCCTAATATGGCGACGTAATCGGAATGTTATCATCACAATCGAAAGTGTACAACACACTTAGGTGGACTGGCTTTGTGAAATGGTCGAATAACGTTCAGAAAGCAAAAATCTTGAAATCGCCGAATTTGGAGAGTCGAATATCAGGAGCACTTGCATTATATGTAGGTGTTTGAGTTGGCCTGTCACAACGACCGAGTTCTTTTCAATTTTTAAGCGTTTATACTTCCGCCTTCCATGCCGCCACCGCGACCTCAAGTGCATGAAAAACTAGGCGATCATGTGAAACCTTGGGTGATATGAAAATATGAGACAAAAAATCATTCAGACACAATAGTATGCCGCCAACGATGATCTGTGGTGGGTAAGCTCCGCCCAGCGAATGATTGTGAATGGGATTTGGCGAAGAAGTGCCAGCTGGGTGGCATTTAAAGAAGCGATCAGAGACGATGTTCATCTCTTCAACTTTCTGTGCATTTATCAGAGACTGATTTCATCAATCTCTGACTTGCAGACTTTTTATTTATGGCGTCGTATACTCTAATAATAAGTTCTTTTTTGGATAGGCATAAATAACGTGGGTCGTAGTGCATTATACCAAATTATGAGACCAAAACTAAAGTGATCTTTTGTCAAGTTATGCAGCGCCTTGAACACAAATTTTTTACTACTTCTTGGTACTTCTTGGTTATATAAAGAGGAGGAACTGCTAGGTTTCCAGTCACATGACCCCCCTTTCACTTCCTTCCACCTTCCCCCCCCCCCCCCCCCTACCCTTCGGCCTTTGTCCCCTGTGCACTTCAAGAGCATGATGGTTTATGCACTTAACAATTTTCTATTTGTTCTCATATTATACCTTCGTCAAAGTTCTCTCTCTAATTTTTACATGTAAATAAAAAATTCAATATCAACTTTCGATTGCAACTTCCTCCCCGGCGAACCCTTTTGATGTAGGTGTTAAGAACGAAGTGAAACTTCTGAAATCTGTTTTACGTTTTTACTTGTGAACTTCAAAGACTTCTCGCATTATTTTTAGACCCTCCAACAACCATCCTACTCAGTCTTCTACTGTATACAATCTATGGGGTCCTTCTACATAAATCCTTCATGCTAGTGGCCTCAGTCTTGTTCCACTTTCAAACATTTTACGTATTGTTTGCCAAAGATGAGTAAACTTCTCAATATAGGGGCCCTATATACAACTTCAAAGGGTATTAGTCCTTATGCTAGAGTTCGGCTTTTGGACTAATCCTGCTAGAGCCATGTTTTCGCCTTTGCAAAACAAGTCTATATCGTCCTCCTACTAACAATCTTTTCTCTTCATCTTTTCCATCTTAAAATCAAGTTTCAGATAAACTTCACGAATCTTCTTTGATCTTACAATAATGTTTATCTAAAATGTTTTGTACGATTTTGCAGCAAGAAAGCTATCTACCAATTTGTTGCTCTTTATCGTTATTTATAAACATGTTTATTTGATCAAGCCTGAATGCCCCTAAGAAGAAGATACGGTCTATCACTTCCACCTACGAAAGGAACATTATATAGTAAACATTTTCCATTTTTTACTGTATTTCATTCATACGTCCCTACTGATTATTTACTATTAGGTTGATGCAAAAGTAGTGTCGTAATCGGAGAAAAATTCAATAACTCTTCAAATACTCGACCTAAATTCATCAATTTATTTTCAAAAAATAGAAGAAGGTTTATGATTTATGATAGTTGCTGAATCGTAACTTTATATATGAACAAGCCGCCGACAACGAAGTCTTCAAATATGGCAATTTAAAATTCGTGATTTTCAATTTGGAGTTAAATAATTGCAGAAGGTCGCTAGCTAGCCCAAAAAATCTGTAAAAATTTCTCACACAGCAAGAGTCCATACATTAATTTGGCAGACTTGAATTCCGTATGGAAATGCAGAAACAAAAAATTCGTGAAAAATGTCATTTTGAGGGAGAAATTAAGTTAGTGCTGCAGTTTTCTCACAGTAACACAGTTTGTAACCAGACATTGGACCTAGTGCCTATTTTGAACACACTGACGTTTTTTGGAGCGTCAAACAGTGTTTTTGCCGGAAAATTGCAGTGATAATGGGGGGGGGGGTTAGGACAAAATGACATTTTTCACGATTTTTTTTTGGTGCTGCATTTCCATACGGAGTTGGAGCCTGCTTAACTGACATATGAACTTTTCCTCAAGAAATTATACATTTTTTTCGGGCTAGCTAGCGACCCTCCGCGATTCTTTAGCGCCAAATTCAAAATCACGAATTTTGAATTACCATCTTCCAAGGCTCCGTTCTTGGCGGCTTGTTCATACAAATTTACGATTCAGCAACTTTGTGAATCACAAATCTTCTCATATTTTTTGAAAACAAATTGATGGATTTAGGTTGAGTATTTAGAGAGTTGTTGAATTTTTCTCGAATTACGACATTACTTTTGCATCAACCTAATACTTTAATGTAACACTTTTGGATAAGAGCTGCAGTACGAGGAATTTTTTCAGTTCACCTGTTTGTGAATATTTATAGATAATGCTCCCCTTTTTTATGGACATTTGCTAACTTATTTTTCTTACAAAGATTAAGCAAATGTGACAAGAGATGGCTGCCTTTATTCTTTGTACTGAACTGGACAACTTGGTTCTTTAGACCTTACTTTCCACAATTTGCTTCGGCTTAGTGAAGAATCGCTTGCTTTCTATTTTTGAAATTTCTGCAGTCACTCACTCCCAAGTAATCTAGCATCAAACAGCATCGACGACAAAAACTAGTTTTTCTGTATCAAAAGAGGTAGTATGTAGTTGCTTAGAAAATTGTTCTGATGCTTGATGCTGTTGCTGGTAAACTGCGAAGTAGAAATGTACCACGGGTTTGTTTTCACTTACTCCAGACGATGACTTTGCTCCCGGTTTCAGAGAATCTAACATTTTTTTCCTTTTGATCTCCCTTTTGTAGGCCAAGCTTGATTGTGTTTACTTGGGTATGTATTATATCATCGGAACCTGGTGAAAGAAGTAGATTTGTATATTTTCTTTTAATGAGAAAATCATAACGTATGTCTCTGAATATGTTATGTGCAGTACGAGGATAAAGCCTCGCATTCCAATTTGTTTCCTACTGTAAACTGCTCCTCTTCAACAAACATGTTAACAGTCAAAATAGCCTCTTTGTTACCACTAAAAATAAGAAGGATACTTGGGGAGTTCAAGCCGAGAATGTTAACGAATTCTTCTTTTTTTTTCAAATTTTTTCACGATCATGCGACTTATTTTTCATAACATTGCTTCTTCGAATTTTGCCACACTTAAAATTTCGTACTCGTTTTGAGCCTAAGCAAGATGATATAAAAATCAATTTTTTCGCTACCTTTGCTGGCACGGCTTAAGTTGATTTAAAACTAATAATTCAAGCACTCTACACATTCTCTTTCAAAAACCTAATCTCTTAGTCCTTGTCAATTTTAGTCAAGCTTAGGTCGTCTAGTAATTATCGTTTCAAAATAGGTTGAGTTACTGATGTAGTGGTACATTATTTGAAAGAGTGAGAGTCTAAGAGTTTCTTCAGTTTATTAATGTTCTAGTGAGATGGGTAAGAAGAAAAAACACTTGGCCAAAAAGGAGGCGCAAAAATTTGTTAACATTTTTACTCTCAGTATCACAACCCCAATTTTTTCCACAAATTGCTTTTTCCTGTATTAGGATAGCTTATTTCTTGTTCTTGAAATCTTTTTTAATGAATGCGTCTTTTTTCATTTTCCAATATATTTACTTCTACATTGATAATTTTTCAGTTTCAGTTCCGTCATGGCAAACGAATTCACTAATTATCACACGGTCCCTGGTGAGGACTCGAAAGAGACGAAAGAGGCGAAAGAGCCGACAACAGTTCAGGAAAAGACTGTCGATGACTTCTTGAAAATGGGCAATTACTGCTTCTTAATACTTTTTATCTCCGAATTTATACTTCTGGGTGGTGCTGGCAATATGATCTACATGATTTTTGCTGGTAGGTCGTAATATACATATGAAAGGCGGTTATACCGTATCTTTACCGTACACTGAATACTTTCAGCAAGCGCTCCACGGATATCTTGTCACGGTTCTAATTTCACTATAGAGAATGTTTGTAGAAAATATCCAAATTTAAGCTCTTTACCTGACTGTGAGCTGGAAATACAATACGAATTCAAATCCTTAAACGTAGAGGTGAGATCGCCCACATCTTCTAAGTACCGGTTTTCCTTCCTAGGAATTGCCAGAAAATTAGCAGGTTTTCTCATTTTTTATTCATTTACAGTTTGAATATTACTGCAGCCAAGGACACTGGGTAAAAAGCAGTATATCTGTACAGATGGGAGGTGTTATGTTAGGCACCATATTTTTCGGCATAATGAGCGATCGATACGGAAGAAAACGGGTAATATTTCCGTCGTCCCAATAAATTGCGTTTTTTTTCTGAAAATCTTCTCTTTTAAGTGTCTGGTCATAGCATTCATCATCAGCGCGATACTGAGCATTATTTGTTCATACTCAACTTCTCTGATATACTTCACTGCGGCTCGTTCCATACTCGGATTCTTCAACGGTGGACTACTAGGGTGAGAGAATTTTCACGAATAAGTGCACTTATAACATCATAACCGAGAAAATAATGGGTAAATACTAAACATTTTAGAGAGTGCCTTTTGTGTGGTGAGAATAGCGAAGTGTGTACCCGTAGGTTACGGTATTATTCGGAAAAAATCAGTTCAGCGAATAGAGTTCATCGCTAGTGACTGACGAGTTTGCACAGCCTTGAATTTGGCCAAGTAGAGTTTCCACTAATTTAGGGATGCGACAACAAACAAATTGTTAGTAATAAAAGGGATTGTCATATTAGTTGGCTCGTATTTTAACTTTAGATTTGCAGCCATTAATTAGCACTAAAAATCCGATTAGTTGAGAGTATTTGAAATTGCCGCACAGAGGTAGATGCATAAGTTTTACAAACTTTAATTCCTTCATTTCCGATGAAATGGTTTTTTTTTTGAATTTGAACCTAATGACATTTTAATTTTAGTCTGAATCTCTCCTACGGGCGTGGCAATATGAATTTAATAATAATAATAATAATAATAATAATAATAATAATAATAATAATAATAATAATAATAATAATAATAGTAAAGTTTATGACATAAATAGAAACGTCGTTGAAACATTTTTAGAAATTCAAATTCTCCGTACAAAACTTATGGACCAACCTAAAAGGTCATAAGATCATACAAGAAACTTGTTTTTATCTTTAAAATATCAAAATCTAAATTTTGAATTCCATTAGTTTCGCACAGACTGCCTCAGAAAGAATGTCTGTCGCCAACTTCGTGGTTCTAAAGAGCACGAGCTCCGAAAAATCTCAAAAGCTTATAAAGATCTTTTTTGGATTGGTTTTGAATGCATGAACATTGTGGCATGTCTTCTCACCCTCCCCCCCCCTCTCCCTCTCCTTCTCGTTATAACGATCTCGAAAGCTCTTTTTTTGATTGTTAAATTTTTCCTTTTGGGTTATGTGTAGTACATACAAGTTCCGGCTACATAAAAACATTTTTACTCACGATAGAGATATAAAGGCCTGATGGCAAGTTGGTGACTGAAAATAGAATCTTAAAGAATTGAAATTTTTTTTGTAATTCAAAGATTATCTATTTCAGCACCTATGGTGTATATAAACTGGAGCACATCCCGAAGAAACATCGCTTCTGGGTAATGACTATAATCGCTTGGGCACCAAACTTCATATTGCTCAATGGTATCGCATACCTTGCCCACGATTGGCGGACATTTCAACGAGTTCTCGTTTTGATCAGCTCACCAGCTCTAGTTTTATTCTTGTAGGTCAATTTTTTAAGCCTGAAACTTGAAAAGCAATTCGTTACTTTTAGTTTTGTTCATGAGTCGCCTCGTTGGTTGATACAGAAGGGAAGGATTGAGGAAGCCAGAAAGGTGCTGCAACGAATCCAACAAATCGACAGGCAAAAGGAGACGAAAAGGGAAGAAATGGAAAAAATGCTTGACGTTGCTAGTCAGGTGCGCTTTCGCGGTTCACTTAACTCAAAGGCAGTGTCTAGGCAAATTTGGGCGCATGGGTTTTCGCTTGAAAACTGATGAGGGGCATAACTAAGGCACTGCCCAAGCGGCAGCGCAAGTAATTCATTCACGGCAGAGAAATCGTCCCTAAACCCTCCGTGTCCGCGCCGTGACCGTAACGCGGAAATGACGCGCGCTGGGATCCGTTCTAACTTACCCGCGGCTTATACGGTCACAGCGCAGGTGCGGTGTTTGGGGACGGATTTCTCAGCCGTAAATGAAAGATTTGCGCTCCTTTGGGCAGGGCCTTAGGTAAGACCCCCTCGTCATTTTCAAGCAAAAAACCCATGCACCCAGATTAGCCCTTCAAGCTGTTCATTTTTCGTAGCCTCAGAGCCAATACAGTTTGAAAACTTACATTCAGAAGATGCAAGCTCAAGAAGAGAAACTAAAAAATTACACGCCTCGTCATCTTTTCTACACCAAGGAAATGGCTATTGCAACGATTGTTTATTGTGTAGGACTGTAAGTTACAATATTCTTTATCCAAAATTCAAATCGATTTTTTGTTTTGCAGTTTCATGGTAAGTATGGTGAACTATGGCCTGATATTCAACATTGAATCACTAGCTGGATCGTTCTTCCTCAACTCAATATTGATAGGCTCAATTCGATGGGCCATAAACATCGTTTTTGCAATTCTTGACTACAAGTAAGCAATGTTTTTTCTATGGTTTATGTTGTGCAAAGTGGTTGTTCAAAGATAGAATGAAAGGAGAAGATTAGATAAGAAAGGCACTTGCGTACGGTAGCCTAATTGAGTATGATAGGTGGAATTTAGTTCGATTAAGTGTCCCTCCGAACCAAGCGGACGAGTTACTCGTTCGGTTTAAGGTATCAAGACGGTAGGAAGCTACAGGAAGGTACAAATCGATAAAGCGAAGCGCTATTTTACTACGAGTGTCTACTGTAAAAAAGCTCTTTGAATGCACAGAAGGCGAGCGACCAGCTAACCCAAGGCTAATGCAGGGCAAATGCGCAGAAGCAGTATTAGTTGAGCGGGCGCCAACGCGACGCGCTCGTATCCGCTGTAAATTTTGCGCCTTGCTCTGCGGCTTATTTATTTATTTATTTGATACGCTCATGGGGGCGCCATTTGTTAGTGAACAGCAACATACAACGTCAATGAAGTTAGTATGACATCAAGAGGATAAAAAAACAGAAAAAAAAACATGAAAAGGCGTTTGATAATCTCGGAATGAAAAAAAAATGCGGCGATGGAGAATTTCGATCAGCGCAGGTCGAAGAACAAGACTCGATGAATCGTTGTCGCCAAATTAACAACAGAGCTGGCAAGAATCGATGGTAGAAGGGAACGATCAGAGGACTCAACCTAAACATCAGCTATACGCAAATGTTCTAGTACATTTATAGAGCCTAATTTCTTATGAAAAGAGGATGCGTTTTTACTAGAAATAATTTCTTTAGGTAAAAGGCTTAACCATCTTGTGGTTAAGCACAAATATGAATTGGAGGTTTGCAAAAAGCATTTTTTACCTAGCTTTCTGTAATGCAAATTGAACCCACCTGTACGCTCTCCACTAGGCCTAAAGATCCAGTATTTACTGGCTCGTAATTTCGTTTCTAATTTTAGGATACGAAAACAGAACACTAAGTCGCTAACAACACGTCTATACTTCAAACTACGCAGCTTTAAAACTACAAGTCGAGCACCGTAGGACCGTAATGTGCGGTGGTATCGAGGGTCAGGGAAATTCTGTAAAAAACTATCCTTGTAAAATTTTTTTGAACTTTTTCGAGCTTCACCACATGCTTTTTTTAAATAAGGACTCCAAACAGGTGCAGCATGATCTAAATGAGGCAAGACATATGTTTTGTATAAACGCACGAAAAGTCCAGGTTTATTACCGTGGATGCTACGTAGAAGCATAAACAGTGCTGCCAGCGACTTGGTGACGACTGAATCATAGTGTGCAGTAAAAGTGAGAGCATCATCAACAAAAACGCCCATATCTTTCACGACGCTTCGATACTCAGCTCAGTACCACCGCAGATAAATGACTTGAGGTGAGTACTGGTGTCGCCTAAGTGCATGACAAAGCATTTTGAAAGATTCAAGGGCAGATCCCATATCTCAGACCATAAATTCACTCCTTCCATGGAAGAAGAAAGGGCTTCGTAGGCTTCCTCCCTTTCCTCTTTTCCATAGCAAACGTATAACTTAAGATCATCGGCAAAAATCTGCACATGTATTTTTGGGTTGGTTTTGAGGGTAGGTCGGCTGTATAAAGTAAAAACAAAAGGGGTGAGAGGACCTCCCTGCGGAACACCACTGCTGCACAAATACTTTTCTAAATACATGTTTTTAACGCGCACGGTCATTCTACGTTCACTGAGATAGGATTCCAGCCATTTCAGCAGCTGACCACGGATACCTGCGCTTTCTAGTTTATGTAGCGCGTTCGCGCTCAAAGATACTGCGCCTTCGTCATACAGCAGCCTATATCTTTTTATGCTCGCTTAGATCCTGCAGCGAATATTCTACCAAGCAGTAATACACCTGCTGCCACATTTATCCTCTTCATCCACTTCGCCGAATAACAAAAAACTGAATCCGCGTTATCTTTTGGCGTAATTGAGGTGGCTTAGTATGGCGTGTGCCATAAGACCTAGCCTAGCCTTTCACCCTGCACTGCTCGTGGGTCCTGCAGCGAAGGGCGGTTTATAACTGTTCTCGATGGAAATGCCCCGAGGAGGATGCACTTGTCGCCGACTTCCTTGCTCGTACAAAAAAAGTTGTCGGAACCACAAAACCCGTTAGGAATGTCTTTTGTATTTTCTTCTGTTCAAATTTTCGTGAAAGGGGCCGCCATTCTTTGCGGAAGAAAGCCGAAAAGCGCACAAAAAAATTCAAAACCCGAAAGCATCAGAAAGGGCCGGAGCTCCTCCCCCCTGGAAGTTTTGGTAGAATTCTGACATTATTTTGATGCGCAGACGACAGAAAATGAAGCAAAATGAATCGGTTGCGACGACACATGTTTTAGCGCCAAAACTTGCGCGCAAAAGGGGGCGTTCCGGCTCTTTTTGGCGCTTTTGGGCTTTTTTCGGCCCAAAAGTATGACGGGTTCCAAAGAAAGCATTCCTTTACAGTGTTTCTTCATTCTGATGAGGCTTCGAAGATCCGAGGCTAACAATCATTTTTGGGTGGAGGTTTTGACCAAGACTTGTTGTGAAGAAACTGAACTAATAGGCAAAAATATGCAATAGTAGTTTAATATATGCAGTAGTAGTTTCAAAGCAGTGGTATCAACGCAGAGTACTCCAAATGCTGGGTAATATATTATTTTTACAGAATTAAATCCTTGGGACGCAAGATCATTCATCTTATGGCACAGTCTACTATCGCTATGTGTTTCTTGGTCATATCATTGACTTTTATTTTTGGTAGGATCTAGATTTCTATATTATCTTCTCAAACTCTGTCCAAAGGTGACTTTCTTATAGATCTTGATGAAAAATATGCGACTGTAATTCGAGTTGCAACAATCACTGCCAGTGCCACTTCATCTCAGGTCATTTTTTGCTTTTCTACTAGAGGGCTTTGCGAAAACCGTAATTGTTTGTTTGAAATTAGTGTACGTTTTTCATAGCTCAATTTTTAGATGTACATCACCAAACATATCTCCGGCATGGAATTCTACCCAACGGTTGTCCGAAATACTGCAATGGCCTTCAAATCAACGTTTAGCCGAGTTGGCACAGTTATTGCTCCTTTACTTTTCCTTTTGGTAAGTATCCCATATTCAACAAAAACCGATCATCGTTGAAATTTCTATTTTTAGCCATGGGTATCGGTGCCATACGTCATTCTTACCTTCTTCGCTGCAGCGGACGCGATTGCATTCCAATTGCTAATTCCTGAGACAAAAGGCAAACCGCTACCGGAAGGTTTGCCAGAGAAACAAAAAAAGATAAAACGAGAAATCTCTCTAGTCAAAGTGTAAAGTCCATTTGTCTGTATGAACTGTACTTTTGCTCTGCATTAGGTAATCTGTCTAAACTGTGTCACTAACCGGTCTGTCTTGACTCTCATAAAGCATCACGTTGGAGTTTTAAAGGATAATATTATTGGAAAATTACTATTATATTTCCAACGTGATGCTCAGTTCTTATTTGAGCTTACTAGTGCATTTTTCGGTTTATTTCACTGTGACTCTCATTCCTCTCATATTGTGATAAGATGTTATGATAAACCTGTACATATCAAAGGGATGAGTGGTGTTTCGACATAATGATACATTGACATTAACTCACTCTCTGTAATTGGTCGCAAGCGCGCTTTGCTCAGGCAAATGAAGTGTTTGCGACAACTTCCAAAAGTTACGGGTAAAGTCACACGCATTTGAGAGCTGTGCAAAGTTACTGTAGACATCTAGAAAATCGCCAAGTAATGCGGATGTAGCGATTTGGCGAGTTCGCGGAAGATTTACTTAGACCTTAACAGAGGGCCGAAAACGCTATGTCATTTTCTTGGCTGCTGTATTCGCATCCGGACCTCCGGCGTTTTGCCAAGCCGATGTGTATATTAGGTTGTCCCGAAAGTTTTGTCCGTTTTTTCAAACCACTATAAAACCACACACAATAAACAACTGAATGTGTTTCAAAATGCATTTGATGCAGCTCTTCCTTCTCTTTCTTACGGATATATTTTCGAACCACAATCTTGTATGCTTTTTTTGATAATTGCCAAAATTCTCCACCCGTCTTTTTTATCTGCTCAAAGTTAGGCTAATTTTCAAAATTTCATTCCAAAGCTTCGGAAAGGGTTAAGTATGGATCAAATAGAGCAATTCTCGGACTACAAGGCAATATTTTTAAATTCTCCTAATCTGCTGTTTTTAGCTTTAGAAAATTATTTGAAGTTCTTGATTTTTGGCAAAGTCATGAGACATGCAACTGCAGCAAATACATGAAAGCTTTCGAAGTTTCTGCCAACTGAGACATAATTCTTATTAAACATTATTTATGCAACATAACCAAGTTTGATGCTTTAAAAAAGCAGCTTTTGAAATTTTCGGCACTTTTAGATGGTATAGGTAATCAAAAAGCCGCGGTTTTTGTTAAAAAAATAATTATAACGGACTTGGTAAGCGTGGCCCATGTAATCTAGAATTGAAGCAATGTAGCCAAAGGTTTGCTCTATATAACGGTTATCAGCGCTTTTCGAAAACATCAGGATAAAAAATTTTAAAATTCGGGAAAGATTTGGCGTTACTGCTGAACTGCTCAAAAAGCCATGGCGATAACATTGCAAAGGCAGGGTAGATCAGAGGGCAAATATAGCTGTAAGAAAGAGGATAAAAATCTGAATCAAATAGTACCTAAGTTGTCCATGGACCAGTGTTTTATGAGTTTGATGAGCGATAAAAAACAGACAAAACTTTCGGGACAACCTACATATAGGCGCCGAAAAGCAGCTACACCTCTCCATCACCGACTCGTTTATTCCTTACTCATGCTTGAAAACCTAGTAGGCTTCCGCAGATGATTTTCGGTGTTGGCGAGATATGTGCTATATGTGTGTTATATGTTACCAGTGCTTCACCTCTGCTTCGCAGAGGTTCGCACTGGCATCGTGAACCGTGGTAAACTCACTTTCTGAGAGCTTGTCTCTCAAATCATTGTTCGGTTTATTGCAACGTGAGCTGTAGAAAAATGAACCATACTCGCTATCTTAAGGGCCGGGCATACTTTACGCGATTTCAGTCGCGACGCGATTTGGCAGTATTCCAACTGTCCATAACTCACTGTAATCATAGTTTGAATGCACAGAAGAAAGGGCATTTTATCAATCCACGTAAATTATACATACTGTGCATGTGCATTTTGCTACTGTTGCTTCTGAATACTTCTGGCGAATTGCCAAATCGCGTCGCGACTGAAGTCGCGTGAAGTATGCCCGACCCCTTAACCTCACATGATGTTTAGTATCGTAAATCATTCCTCACTGTAATTTCGTAACGTACAAACTCCACACAACTTCAGATTAAGCCGCTTATTATAAGTCACTAGCTGATGGCCCCGGTCTCACCCGAGACTCTTAGTTTAACTAATATGTCATCGGCTCACAGATTCGTGCAGAGGCGGGTTGCGAACTTCCGTGATCTCCAGGATAAACTTGTTAAAGCTCCACGTTATGGCACTGTATTTCGCACTCTCTCTCTCTCGAGCTCATCCTTGAAATCAGTGAAGTCGGCAGCGCCTCCACATGAATCTGGAATTCGATCATACTTACACTTACTAACTTCTACAACGCTCGAAAAGCGCTTTGAGACGAAACCGCTGCATCCTGCCGACCTCAAGAGTAGAATGAACTTTACCACCCCTGCTTACATGTTTATTGGAAAATGATTGGTTAGAGCACGTCAGACTTTCATTTTCCCAGATTTAAGTAAACAAATCAATAAATCAATAGAAGGATCCTGCGAATCGCCGTAAAAAGTAGCTATAAACCACCGCCGGGGTCGAAAACATATGTGTAAGAAGTTTCAGCTCAATCGGTTTAATGGCTGGCGTTTCTATAACGAACGAACAATTAAACGAACATCCTCACAGACATTGAGTTTTATATATATACTAGCTGGTGGCCCCGGTCTCACCCGAGATTTCAAGTTAGTTAAGCCAACAGAACTTGTAAACTTACGCCTCTAGATTTCTTCCAACGTGCGCGTAAAGCGCTTTCAGACTAAATGCCGCACCCATCAACTTTGAAACTGAAATGGACTTTACCGCCCCTGCATACGTGCTTATATGTAAAAATGATCGGTTGCCATGATGGCCCTTCATTTTATACGGTTTGAGTAAACAAATCGATAGAATGGCCCGGCGAATCGCAGCGGAAAGTAGCTCTAAACCACCTCCGGGGTCGAAAATATACGTGTGCGATAGATTAGTGCATCACCTCCGCTTCGCGGAGCCTATCCGTATACCTTTCTCATATTCCCATAATGATGACTTTGAAACTTACAGCGCGATGCTGAACATCACAAATGAATTGTAAACAACTGCTCATTCTTAAAGCATCTCCACGTAATATCGGTAATTCTGAGAAAGAAATCTTTTCGCAAAGGAAAACCTGCGAATTCGAATAAATTATCGAGCTTATTTTGGCTTGGTAGTCGTCATAAGGATAGCAGTCACTTTGGGCTACATTTCCGTGCAAAAATCTTTTCAAATTTGAAGTTACAGCCTTGCCAAATCGACTATCTACACGATCACCAATTTTTGGCGCTGTTTTCGCAGAAAAGCACTTTTTGTGCCCTTTTTGGGTCAGAATTCATGAGGCGCAAATTTACTTGTCAGGCAAATCATGGCTTTTCAAGACGCACAATTTTTGTAACATCAACGCAGCGGATCCGTACGAAATTTTGCATGATGGGCCTAGATGCTGGCAAGGTGCTATGACCAAAACTTCAGCTCAAGACATTTGCTGGAACTCGCTGTATGAATTTCGTGACAGACAGACGTACACACAGACACACAGACAAACAGACGTAAACAACCCTTAGCCCGTTATTATTAAGTCATAGATGGTATGTGTTATATGTTTGGTATGGTTGAATGAGCCATAGGCACAGATTCTGCGCGGGAATTGCACTGTGCTGTAAGGACTTGGTGGCTTTGTCGTCGACCCTGACGGTGAAGCATGGTCACTTTGCATGAAGACAGCCTTAGCGAACATTGGCAGCACAAGATGAGGCCTCTCGTCCCTTGCCTTTTGTTTCTTTCACCACAAAATTTCTTGTATTTAGTGTCAGGGCCCGGCACGAGCTTGTCAAAAGGGGTTTTTGAAAACGAATTCCCCTTTGACCCAAAATATGTTTACGATTTTCCCCTTGACCCAAAAATTGGTCCCAGTGATTGCGCAATGAACACTTTACCAAAGGAAGAACATTTATTGGAGAAAAAACTAATAACAATGCAATAACAAAGAAAAAAAAGAGATCAGGATCAGTGATCTCTAGTGAACAATGACAATTTCACCGGCACCTAAGGGGGGGGGGGAGTGGGGAAGCGCGGGGGGAGTGGGAAGTGGGGGGGATTCGTACCATTTATACGCTCTCACAGTACCTCTCGCATTCATCTTCATCCTCAAATACTCCACTTCCACACCCACTCTAGAAATTCACTCCTCTCACTCATTCTCTTTCCCCCCTCAGAAAATCAAAGCGCAAGCTAGTGCTTGTGCTTTGATTTTCTGCGCCTCATTGAGGGCACCCGAGTGGCGGGCACGCGCACGGAGTGACGGCGAATAACCTCGCCGCCACTCCCCCACTCGGGGTCCTCAATGAGGACCCTCCTCCCTCCGCGCTCCCCCTTCCCCCCAGGCGTTCGCCAGCATATCTTTGCGACGCCTTAACGTAGTTGTAGACATCCCTGGCGAAAGCCAGGGCGTGGAAAAAGAACAGCTCAATGATTTTCATCAGCATATGGGTTGTGATATTCATAATAAAATCGGCCAGTCCGACTGTGGACCAGTCGATCCACGGGAGGATCGACTGGTCCACAGTCGGACTGGCCGATTTCTTTGTATTCGCCCTTTCGCGGCCGAAGTCTCTATCTAGAGACTGAGCAGCAACTGATGTGGCAATCACCAAAATGAAGAATGCTGAAAAAACAAAAGATTAAAAAGAAAATAATGGGCAAGAAGCTTACCTACTATCTACTAAGATTTTTAGCAAGAAACTGCAGAAATTTGTCACAATGCGTTCAATCTTAAAACATCACATATTGGTAGCACTCTCTTATGCACCGGAACCGAAGATCTTCTTTTATGCGTAACCATATCCTCTACACAACATACACTCCTCATTTGCGACAAATTTATCCATTTACTTTGAATATAGCATTGCATGATATCGCGATAACAATTGCATCTCCAATTAAATTGGAGACAAGCTGTATCTAGTAAGGTTCAAATGTACCTTACTTCGTCAGTAGATGATTCAGAGGATTGGGGGACCAGTACTCTAAGGGATTGTTCAGACCGCTCGGCCAACTCCGTACAAGAAGTGCTCGCATCACAAGTGATGCGCACGGACGAGTTCCGCGTTGCGCATCTGAAGAAGTGAGTCTAAATGTAAAATACAGGTCAAAAAGCAACGAGAAAGAAGGTGAAAAGATGGAAACAGTAAAAAAAACTAGCAAGTGACGAAACATAGACGCCGATCTAAAGGACTCATTGATACGCCGTTCGATCGGAGCGCGCTTTCCTCCCTAGGAAACGGTTTCTTTGAGGCTATTTTTGGCTCTAGCAGAGAGGAAAGGAGGAAGTATGAAACCAAAATGTTAATATATACTATACAATAGGTGTAGAAGAGATTTATATAAAAATCTTGAAAAAATTATGTGAATTGAGAGTTTTGACATCGCTTTAGTAAGAATGATAAGATCATCATTCACATCCTAGACTTGGAAGATTTGTTCTAACGTGTAGCTTTGCTACGTTGTCCCATCCTAGAAGGAAGGCGCGCTCCGTCTTATCATTACGGTAAGCACATGAACTTTCGGTTCTTGAAGGAAAATCTTATATTTTGCATAACAAAGGCAGAACAGAATTCCCTCTAGAGGCCTGGCTCTGAGTCTGAGTTGCAGAGTTGTTCTGGAATGATATCCACGAAAGTCCATAATGGAGGAAAATGGACTTTCAAATTTATTCGTTTGCGGTGGAAACTGGTCGGAATCTGCGTTCGCTCGCGTTATTCAAATCTTTTTATCCCGTCGCAACCGCGAGGCAAAGCGGTGTAATGAAAATGTTTCAACCCTACCTGAGCTCTCGTTTGCGAAAGAATCATGCGAAAAGTCCATTTAGAATGGGGCAAAATGGGATTTACCTTCATTTTAAATGGACTTGAAAGCCCATTTTACTCCCTGCAGCAACATGAGCTTGGACTAAGTCCATTTTTGACCTTTTTGCACATTTCTAATTGTGATTTTTTGGGAATGTGTTTCTCAGCTTATTTTAGGGTAACAAGTGAACGCAGAAAGTTTTATTTTCTCTAGGAGGGCCAAAACAGTATATTCTCAAAACCTTTGAAATGCTTTGAAAATCATGGAAAAAAATTTCGCAAACCTAAATTCACTACGAAATCTACAAGCTCCCAAATCATTCAAAGATTCCATGCAAGGGTAATAAAAATTATTCAATTGCAGATTAGAAGTAGGGACTTGTTCTCATACATATGAGTAAGTTATGTGGACTTAATCTAATTGACTAGTTATAATTCTCAATCAAACCAGCTCGTAAAATTCGTGCGGGCCACAACCTAATATAAAAAGATGACCGCTAATATAAATTTTTCGGTTTGAAGGTAATTTTTCTGCATGACCAAGTCCTTTTAAAGCTAATGAGCTCTAGTTAGCGCCATTCTGCAACTACATGATGGGGAATTTTTTCTCCAAAAATTTCTTGAGAGTGAAGGTCTTAGTTAGCCATTTGTCATACGTATAACTAAATTGAAAGGCCTACCTTTCTTCCGCCTAAGGATTGAAGAGAACTAAACAAATTTCAAACTGAAAGCTTTAGTTTTTTCTACTACTCCAGAAACAGTTCGAAAGGTATTCGCTACCGCAGTCATCAGAAACCCAAAAATCTCGAATCTTTCTCATTCTAGAAAGGGATAAATTTAGAAAAAAAGAAAAACTTGAAGAATTGGCGACATATGAGATGACAATGTTGGTTTGAAAGTTGTTCAATCATGTAGAGATGAAATTTAGCGCTAAAAGGGAAAGAAGAGCAGATAAACATTTTCGAATTCATCATCCCTTTGCAGATCTAAGGTTTCCTATGAGATAAGCATTTTGAATCATAGATCGCAGTGCAAGTCTAGCCGAAGTTTCGATCTAATGCAGCGAAGGCCCGGATATTGCATGTATTTTAGTTGAATGGAAGTATTTAGATGCATAGTCCTAGATAATAAATGGCATAAAAAATTTACGTGACTGTCATTGTAATGTTATGTCAGCCCTAGTCAGATATCGACCACTTGGTGGAAATGAGTTTGCAAGAGTGAGTAAACAAGTTGAGGCATTTGGAAAAAGGTTTGCTGGAGCATTTTTGTATGGAATGAATGGATTCGCGAATGCGATATTTTATCGCACCGCATGGACTAAGTCCATTTTATTCGCACAAAAAGCCCATTTCGCGGGGAGTTTCCTGGATATAATTCCTGGATAAAGTCATGTGCGTAGCCCATAGAGAAATGTTTGATTCGGTTGATACAACTTTTATCCCTTTTATCATTTAATTTTACAAGTTTGCAAAATTCGGAGAGGAGCAATACCAATATTTTTTGCAAAAACATATCAAAAACAAAACTGAATAGCTTAGATCATTGAATAAAGTGCAGTTGTAAGTAGACCATAAATGAGGTACGAGAACAATATATACAGAGAAAGTAGAAAGACTAGCACAGGACTACAACAACATCATTACGAATGCGATTACTGTAACTAATTCGGCAGACTGTATAGTGGAGAAATTACAAAGATCAGTAGCACAGCAGCATGTTCTCCCTCCATTTTGATTGTCATAGCAACTGACTGTCTGTAAGAGAAGAAATTCAAACAGAAGCTTGGAAAATAAATATATTGATTGCTGCAAAAAAATCACCTTGCATAGTGAAGCTGACTGGTCGCAACCATAGCTGGCCAATGGTGTAGGCATAAGTGCAGTTATCCTTAAAGGAATACAATTCTTACAATTTTTACTGGTTTGAAATATCTACAAAATCTCGTACTTTGTGCAGTAAGTCGCTAAAGGACAGGCTTGTTGATCTTTTGGTGCAGCGCTATTGTTGTAAACCGCTCCTGCAAAGCTTCAATTAATAATCTGACCAGAAACCTTTTGCAGGTTGACAAGATTTCTTACCATTATAGCAGGTTATAGCAGAGGTAGTTGTAGCAACACTCAAAACTACGAACACCTGTAGAAGCATAAGTCTTCGTCTGGAAGTAAGCGTTACAGCGATACAGGACACGTGGTTGTGATTTGGAAAAGCTGTAAAAGTGTTCTCTGTGCATCACGAATGCAGCGAAGTTAAAGCGAACTCTAAAAGAATGTAATAGCTTGAGAGAAAATATGAGATTTTACCAAATTTATTGAAACAACAGTGCAAAAAGTTCAAGTGAGCAAAATCCTGCGTACCCTACTTGCGTTAAAGGCAAGGTGAAAAGGTGCAAATTAAAGTTTCTATAAATAGAATTCATATCAAGTTTGAGAAAGCTTCCAGACCGCTTTTTTGACTAAGCTGCTTATACATTAGTTTGTTTTCAAACATTTTCCGGTATCTCATCATTTAATTCTCTGCATCACTGAAATGGATCTTAAATTGATGATCAAATGGAGACAGTGAAAGTTGAACAGAAAGGAAAAAAGGGAATGGATTGAAATCGGTGAATGCAGGAAAACTTTCATAAATTAATAGTTTCCAAGTAAAAATATCACTCTACCGTGCACATGAAACCATATCGAACATAAATATGAGTTTACGGCAACGTAAAACTCAGGAATGGTCCTCTATGAAGTGCAAAAGCAAACAACGTCTGTTTATCAGCAATAAAAATAGCTCAAACACAAGGCGAATCAGAATATAAAGTGATCTAGCAAAAAAATCGTGAGCACATAGACAAAGAGCCAGATAGACTTTATCATTTTTCGCATGGCAAAGGCCAGACTAAGAAGACGTAGAATGATTCTCGGAAGATTGATGATGTAATAGCAATATGATAGTCGTCAAATAAAGTTGTTGTGAAGCCATTCTGTACAAAATGCAACGTTTAACTATTTTAAGGAATCGAACGGAGAAGTCAAAAATTTACAATAGCGATTTGTTTACCATCACCTAAATTTTATTGCATTAGTAGCACATAAAAGTATAACAATATAGCGCCATGACGTTAGCACATTGTAGCTCGTTGAAATTGTATGAAGCCTTGACTATGATGGCCGACTGATAATTGCTAACTACAAGGCACACAGACAGGCACTGATAATGAGGTATAATCAAGTAGAAGAGAAGATTCGCGAAATGTTTGCGCAGTAGTTGTGACTAGCTATATATGGAGAATTATCAGCTTAGGCAAACCTAAGTCATTCTGAAGATTGCTGAGTCGTCAAAAAAAAATACAGCTCTGCTGTTCGTTTACATCTACGCAAAATATAAAAGTCTTGCAGTAAAAATAATGGCGAGATTAAATGGAGAATCTCAATTGATGTTTTACTGCTTTCAAAGAAAACAGTTGACAATATCTGCTTTTTAACCAAGCCAAATACTAAAATCGAAATTTTGTGAATGCTACAACAAACTCTTACTTAAATTCAGAAATGTTAAAATTCGCGAAGTTGTGGCAAACTAGACTGGAAGCAAATAATGAGGACAATATTTGAGGGCAATGATTGATATACGATCAGAAAAAAGACATAATTGCAGCTATATCCCTTGACTTGTCAAGCGACGAAGAATGTACTCCGTTTACCAAATAGTTTTCTGGTTCGACTGCTTGCAAAAAATAATTTTAGGACGTTTCGTACTATCTCATGCTTTCTGATCCAAGTTCAAGATAAATTTATTGTTTAGTCCACGCTAGAAAATTTTATATTATGATTGAAATTTTAATTGATAAAAAGTCGGTAATGTCAAGGAAATAAATGTTCGATATTGCTGCGTGATTCTAAAAATCTAAAAATTTTTAATTGATAAAAAGTCGGTAATGTCAAGGAAATAAATGCTCGACATTGCTGCGTGATTCTAAAAATCCAAAAATAGCACAAAAATTGGAAAGAGCAAAAGTGTGCCGTCAGTTAACACAATACATATTGGCGCAGAGCGAGACAGCTGACGGAGGTTTTGCATCCGATATTGCTTTATGGAGAAAAATGAAAATGGTTCCATCATTGCAGCACTCGCAATAGAAAACAGCTGCGAGATCGATATGATTACCTCATAGACTCGAAATCGTTAGCTTTCTGTATGATTAGAACTTGGGTTGTAGTTTTGATATTTGAAAAAAATTTGGGTTCAAATATACGATTCTCTTGTTGTTAGGGGGGGGGGGTAGTGGTTGCTGTTTAACGGTATAAATAAAATGAATGAAAGATGCTTGAGATTGATGGTGGATTACAGAAGTGCAAAAAATTAGCCTTTCAACTTTACCTTAGCCTTTCTTTGTTTATAATTGAAACAAGCAGGAAGAGAAACTTGTATTGAAGCAGGTCTTGAAGGGCTGCCCCCAAACAATCTATGAGGAAAACATACATTTCAGCACAATAGCATCTCAATGCCCATGCATGTATGTAGATTTCAAGCAGCAGTAACCATAACTACCTCTACATATAGAACATCATTTCAATTCAAACGTGAGCAGTAAACAATGTTCTGATGACTGAGTAACATAGGACAGTCTAGTATTATACTAAATTTGACTCAAACAACCATAACAACATCTTCGACTTGGTACAGTTCCACATATAAAAAGTAAATTTTCAGATGGCAAGAACCTGTCCATTAACATTCCTCCATTATGGGATGAATCCATCAGCACCAAAAATGAATTGCGCTACGAAACCCGCTGACCGGTTCAACATTTTTAGCCCATTAGGTCATTCTAACATCATGTTTTTGAACATAGATTATAATGTGCTTGTCAAAAAGGAAGTTTGCAGATGTTCGGAGAGTTACTTAGTCTCCAATCGCTCTTCCCTCCGGGCTTAATGGAACAGGGTAATCCGTCAGAGCACTGGTTTAGTAACTATAGTTTGGCCCAATCGGGATCAGGCCGTACCTTTCGCTAGACTTGCGCGCACGCAGCAGTCCTAGGGCTTCGCGCCGCATATGCGCACTGTCTGCGAGAGCGAAGAGATTGAAGAGAAGGCAGACAAGCAGACCATAGGAGTGAGGCAAAAACCCAGCGACGCGGACTCCCGCCATGCCAATTCGGGCCCGATTAGGATTGAAGCGAACTGTAGCTGTATCTTTATGGTACAATCTGTGTTAATTACGTATTCCTTTTCGCGGAACTACGCATACGCAGCGCGAAGGCTTTACGTGCGGACCTTCAATCGATGAGGCCAATTCAATGGTCCAAGCCCGCGTGGCGATTGTGCTTACGGAAAAGGGAGCAAGTAATTGACACAGCCTTTGAGAATTTGTGACCAATTTAGTGGCTTCTTCGCTTATAAAATAGAATGCATTCGGCGCATGCCCACTGTGGTTATTGAGCACCAAATTCTCACCAAATTCTTTATCCCTTTCATTGCGATCTTATGATTCCCGTAATTTCTCTGTACTGCGTGCTTAGCTGCTAATTTGTGACTTGAGGCTCTGATGCTTAGCAGTGAGTAAGAATAATGTTTTCTCACCGACGAGACAGCAGTGTAAACAAAAACAGAGACTAGATTCTAAGTCATTTGTACGATCTACTTGTACTCAAAGACTCACCACAGCTGGTCGGCTTCCCGTATGGGACATGGGATACACTGATTCTGCCGACGTCCTCGCACTAAGGATAGAGGATGATCGAGAGGTGAGAATGTACGATATACATGACCGCCTGTACAATGTCATCCCGAAGGGTTTCAAGTAAGTGTATAAAACAAGATTTGCAGGTGTACAGGAGAGTCTGACGGATCGCTCTACGGTGATTTTAGCTGTGCCATCATTTTGAACCGTACGAGTACCAAATAGGCACTCACATCTAGAAAACCATCCTTCAATGAAACTAAGCCGGTCCTGCACAAATATGCGATGCCTCTCTTAGCAAATTCGTCCTTACAAGTAATATTCAATCGTTAAACCGAGAGTCATTCTGAAACAAAGCTTTCGAAGCACTACTCAGTGTATTGAGCGGATCTCAGGCTGAAACTATTTTTCTTTACTAAACGAGAGCAGTTGAGGCTTGTGAAATGTGTAGGTGACAACATAAATCTTCGGAAACGCTTAGGTTGCCGCACAAGTCGAGCTATTTATTCTATGCAGATTTGTTGTACAAACAATTAATGAAATAGTACAGAGTGCCTTCTGGTCCGTGTATCTCTGTAATAAGCGTCTTTTCTCATCCCTCTTCAGTATCCATCACTCACAACAAGGTCGCAACGAACAGCTTCGGCGAGGTCGTGCGCCTTGTCAGATTCTAGCCCAGGATGGACAGGGTAACGTGAATAACTGCAGCATGTTCGTACAATTCTCTTCAGTCCCTCGATGTCTTCATACAAGCTAAATAGTTTCCCGATTGAGTAACGCTGGATGGTGTTGGCTTCGAAGCTGTTGAAGGTCCTCGCAGTCGAGAATCTTAAGATGAGAGGCAATCGTTAATTCCAGCAATCTCTATGGCCCTCGGAACCTTCTAGATTCCATGCAGCTGACTTCTTTGCAAAGTCCAGCATGTGGCGCTGGGATTCGTCCATCGTCCTTGTCATGCAAGTAAAGACTACAATTATGAAAAGCTTATACTGCACACTAGGAGGGTAGTATCGAAAATGTCCCGTCCGCTCTTCTTGAAGGAAAAGACCTTGTAACTTTTCCCTCGCCGGAGATCTTTTCTTTTAGAGTTAGGATGTTTGATGGTTGCAAGGATCCCATGTGGATAATCTTTTCCTGCGCAAAAGTTTGACAGAAAGGCGAGCTACGTAGTCTGCGTAGTCTTGGAGCGGTGGATGTCCCCTGAATCTGGATAGCGGTGTGCATATCGCCATGAAGATGATGATGGTGACACTTCTTCACTGAGGGCGGTGAACACTTTTGATGATCATATAGCCTTGTGTAGAAGTTGATAATCCGCAGTAAATTTCATCTCTTGTCGAGAAGAAGTCAGGGTCCCGTCTTTGTTCAGTACTACTCTATTTATGTAGGATGTTTGTATAGGTCCCTTCGGCATTTCTTAAAAGCAGTGTCAACCCCCCCCCGGTAACTGGATTTTAAAAAAAATCCACTTACCGGGAGTTACACCGCTGAATCCGAAAATTCCCATATAGGGAAAACGGCGAGAACATGCGTTTTCCAAAGCTTCACAATCTGAAGTTTGACGGTCTCCGCTGAAGACGAGAGGCAGAGTCGCGGCGGGACCCTATGATTTTGACTGTGGCGGCATGCGTACTAGCAGGAATACGAACAGATTAGAGAACCCCGTCCCAGCACGTACGTTTCCCCATTTCCCGATTGTTTTTCTTCCTTTAGGTCGAACTTATAACCTCGTACTTGTGCGATGCTGTGACTGAGGGGGGCCATCTTCGCATGGCACTGAAGATCGAAAACCCCCACCGTGCCCGTACACTGCCCCTAAGACTTTGACGTCTTTCGCTGCTTCCCGTACCTTCGTCAGTTGTGCTCTTGAAGAGCTTTCTGCGATTCTGTTATGCAGTTGGCGGTGAGTTGTAATGCAGATCCTCTCTTAAAGCGCCACCAACAGCCGAAGATCCACAGCTGTCTGTTACGCATTCAAAATCTGTGCTTACACTGCAGCCTCGAATGTTTTACCCCCCCCCCCGTAAATTACCTAAACACAGTTCTCTGAAGAACGCCACACACGCGCTGCTTGTCAGACTCGGCAATACGGATCTGAGAAAGATGTCACGTCTTCAGAACTCAGCGAATAAGTACGTAGCGAAAGCAAGAACAATGGCCATTCACATCACGAGAACAGGAGACAAATGGACTGTCAAATCCTTAGAGTGAATAGCCCATGCAAAACGCGTCGATGAAGTTAGAACGAGATATAGATCTGAATTAGAAGAACCAACTGCGAAGTCAGCTGGACACGACTCCTGCGCTTGAAACTCGGTGACTCCCACCGACGACCACACCATCGTGGATGTCGTAGACGATTGTAACAAAAGGAAACTTCTATCAGGACCGCAACGTTTGAACGTTCATAAAACTATTCAACATATTCTGGATACAGGGTTTGAATAGATTGAAAACATATGCATTTGATACGCACATTCTTGGCTCCAAACAACACCTCGTAGGGTATCTGCTACAGACTTGTCATTATTGCGCAACTGAACAGTAGCGCATGTTTTCCATGCTCCGACGATGCAAGTGATTACCTCATTTTTGTTTTTATTGCGTCTTGAACTCAAAGGATTGCAAGACTTATCCTCCACACTCTTCATCTAATCGCTATCCTAGCGGTTCTTGAAATGTCTTCAGATTTGCAAGCACCAAACTTGTGAGAGAGGAACATATCCTTGCTTCAAAAATGGCATACTTGATCATAGTGCATAAAACCAATTTAGGTCGAATACGAATTTAGACAAGCTTTATACAAAAGATAGTGTAATTATGTTGACAGAAATTTGCCTTACTTCAATACGTACGATTGTAGAGTATTGTTGAGCGGAGAACTTCTCTTTAGACTGTATTCCCGATGATCACAGCTTAGAAACAATGTAGTCCTAGAGGCAGTGTCCATCCAAAATTTCGCCTCTCATGTTTTCGTCTTTCTGGGGCTCTTGCGTGGCCCTGATTGTATTTATAAAGTTCAAATTGACCAAGACCTCAAAAAAAACCGATTCTGTCCGCACCTTGTTTTAAGAGTGCGGACGAGTTTCGGATTGTTCATCTCCTCGGCTAACCAGCGGGTGCAGGTGCAATTGCATGGGTGCAGTTGCAGCATTTGCGTAAGCACTCATCCTCATGGGAAAGATGGGATTGGATACTCTGGGCTTGCTTGACAAGTATATGCTAATCAGATCTGGGTGGGGTTGATTTTGGGACGCTGCCTTTGAAACAGTTCAAGCGTAGCCAAAGTGCAACTATGCCGCCGTACGTGTTGTGCGCGTTAAAAATGTCCGGCTGCTGGAAACAAAGATTTGAGAACAGAAAATTTTCCTTGAGCTTTCGCTTGTTTTCATCTCATTTTTAAATCATGCTTACTCTTTTTAGGTGTCTCTAAGGTTATGGAACCTGCACTTGTTTTCCTCTGGGGCATTTAGCAATGTGTACCGCGGGTTTGTCGTATCAGATACTAATGTTCCAAAAGAAATAGTGATCAAGAAGACGTGGTCCGGACCTCGCGATGGCAAGTTTCTTACGTCCGTATCCTATAAGCTGCTACTATACTGTTCAGCGTCTTCACTAACATCATATGAAATTCAAATCTTAAAGATGCTTAGTCGACTTAATCATAAGAATGTTATCCGCTTATTATACAGCTATCGAACAAGATACTCCGACAACGTTCGTATTTTTCGAGACTTGGCTATCAGTTTTGAAGCATTAGGAAGCACCTACACTACTCTTAACTAAAATAAATTCAGACATGCTTTTCTCTCATTTTCGAATTCCTACCACTCAATCTTTATCAGTATTTGAAAAAGTTCAATAGAAGAATTGGTTTGCTAGAAACAAAAATGTTTGCTTGGCAATTGTTCCGTGGTCAATATCACTTGCTACGAGTGAGTGGAACTTGAAAGACTAACATGGTTCAAGGTTCTTATGTTTGGATTGTAGGCAGGAATTTGTCATCGTGACATTAAGCCGCAAAATCTGCTCATCGACGAAGAGTCTGGGCTGCTGAAAATCGGTGACTTTGGATCATCAGCAATCGAGCCAAAAAAGTCTCCACAGCCCAGTTATCATGTGACCAGGTATGCAACAACAATAATGACAAATCTCCACATTTTGTGGCATTTCAAGCAAGATAAGTGCTATACTTACGGAACTGCAAAGTTACACACATGTGGAGCGGATGGTCAAAAAGATCTGGCACAAATTTGCTGTAACCTTTTCCAAAGTAAACCAAGTTGCAGTTTAATAGTAAACTATTTGGTTTCGCAGGCTAGTCTTGTCAGATACGACAGGTGCATCGTGGGAAGATAAGTTGCTCAAACCCAAGATTTTGCGCTAACTATCGTTGACGTTAGGACTCCGTATTCCTTCCCTCACTTGCGTGAGACGCTTCACTCCTAAATCACTCTCTTAACAGCTTGAAGAAGCTAAGCTTTATTCATCCTTCTAATTTTTCATGCTTCTGAAGCGTACATCAAAGCAGGAACAAGCGTCGAGCTGAAGAGATGAGTGCGGAGCTGGATGTTCTTGGTTTTTTCCACTAGTCCTTAGTCGGCTTATATGATCCCCATGCTGCCCGTTTCCTCCTACTCTGCGAAGCTAATTCGTTTACCATATTCGCTTCCCGATTTAAGTAGGTGTAGCTTGAGCATTCGTTCATGTTCGTTTGTTGTGCATGAAGGAAGTATCAAGATATATATGGTAAAAGATAGCAAGAAAAAGGGTAGAATGCTTGTAGCGGCGATAAGACTTTCAAATCTCAATCTCTTCTAAATTGTTAAGTGTTCTTTTGAGGTATTATCGCCCACCGGAACTTTTGCTAGGATCAAAGACATACGGTTGTGAAGTTGGTGGGTTCCCATCTCGCATCAGGTGTCATCTTTTCTGTCCAAAGAAAGCGTTAAGATATATGGTCATGTGCATGTGTTTTTGGAGAAATGCTTAGAGGAGGTGTACTTTTTCCAGGAAAAAATACGTTTAATCAACTCGAAGTATGGTTAATAGTTCTTTTTATCTCGTGAAAGTGGAGGAATTATGCAGTAAAATTTTACATTCATACAAGTTATTTAGCTTTACATCGACTGCTTTGGATTTCCTACTGACTATGATGTTGCCGCTATGAATGCATCCAAGCATAAATGGAAAGAACTTAAATCGGTAAGATCGATAGGCACAGCCACATGTGGTTGAAATAATTTGAAAGGTAGTGCGTGTATATGCAAATCCTATGCGACCGCAAGTAAAAATTTGATGCACTTACTGTACACTGTGGTGCGAAGGCTGTAATGGTAGTATTATTTGCTTAAGAATTGTAAGTAAAGTCTGCCCCAATCCCAATCGGGCCAAAATTGGCATGGCGGGAGTCGGCGTCGCTAGACTTTTGCACCATGAAGACGGCCTGCTTGCCTTCTCTGTTCTCAGACTTTTCGTTCTCTACTTTGCGCGTACGCAGCTCAAACGGATGCGCTGCGTGCGCACAAATCTAGCAAACGGTTCGGCCTCATCCCGATGGAAGCAAACTATCTCTAGTAAAATCAAGCGCATAATGTGAGCATACGGATGGGCGTTTGCATATAAAAGCGAAAATACTTACGACATAAAATTTTTATTCAGAAATACAACGGAAAACATTGCACACCGAATGGGCTAAATAAAGTGAGATAAAGTTAGAAAATCGAACAATAGCGAGTGACTTCGATTGAAGGTACTGCCAATAACGATGGACTGCCCACCAGAAGCAGTGAAGCTTTTGGCACAAATGCTTGTATATATGCCTATGCATAGATTACATGGCACACAATTGTTATGCGATCCGTTTTTCAAGGACTTGTTTGACAAGAATACTAGAAGACCATCGGGGAAGCCGATTGGATGTCTAAGCAGAGAAGTATGTTATCCATCTTTCGACAACACAAATAACATTTGCTAATGTTTCAGGATGTCAATGAAGTAGTCAACGGCGACGTCTCCATGACGGGATCCATTCAACAAGTCGAGCAACAAAACATACTTGTGTAGTGTGTCAAAATACTTGCAACGCTTACTAGCCTTCATTAAGTAAACATTAATACCACAAGCCTCACAACATGCAATGCTAGGATAACTTGCTCCTTTCCCCTCAACTCGCTCAAAAAAATCACGTTCCACAAAAGAAACGAGAAGATCGAGATTTTGCGGTGATTTTTATAAACTTTACATTCCAAGACATTTCCTTCTTCGGAGGTCCGTGATCCATCGCTACTCCTTCAGTCTTGAAAATTGAAACAGCAGACGAGTGATTTCATATCGCTGACTTTCTGGTAGCTTGAGCAAGTAAGAAGTGCGCGGAGTGCAAGCTCTGTAAGCTGCATATTTACCAGAGCATAACCAACAAAGCCCATACACGGAAGAAAATTTTTGAAAAACCTTTAAAGTCTGGGTTCGACGCGGAAGTCGTGCACGCTGGACCTCGCTTTTGGGAGAAAAAGCAATCGGTGATGATATTTGAACTGAATGAATCGAAAAGAACTGACTGGAGGACTCATGAAAAGTCACGATTTTCAAAAAAAACCAAAAAGATCAATTTGATGTTTTTCATTGACCGCTTGTAAATCATAACTTTCGTAAAGACATTCAATAGCACAGCATAACCGCAGGCTAAGCTGGCAAAAATAGTGAAAATCAAAAAAATAAATAAAATCAACAAAATTGTGATCTTGTTGGATGATGTAACCTGGCATCTATTATGCGCAGGTACAAGGTGTAGAACCTTCATAAGCTAGATAGAGAAAGAAGAGAAAAAATGTTTAGGGCCGCATGCATTAACATCCCCGCCGGAGAGGGGATCGCAATTGAAAGAAAGCTTTATATCCTGAAGCTCCAGATATGTGAATTTCACGCTGTCTATCTCTCCGTACTTTCACTATGAACATACTGAACAGGAGCGAGGAGCTGTACAAGCCGCATTTCCCAGCTTTTTCTATGATCCCCTGATGATCCCCGGGGGACGATCGTCTATTTTTTAAAGTACTTTTTCTTTCTTCAAAGTTAATGAAAACATTCCAAAGTTGTACTGATATCTAACCCAATAGTGCTAAGCATATTGCTGATGAGAACAAATGAGTTTTTGTAATATCAAAATTTCCGTAAACCCCAACTTTCGACCTGTGGTTCATCGAAAATTTCATGGCTCCATAACATCGTTTGTTCTTATCAGCAACATGCTTAGCAATTGGGTTAAATAAGCAACACAAATTTGGAATTTTTCATTAATTTTGAAGAAAGAAAAATGACTTCAAAAAATAGAAGGTCGTCTCCAGGGGATCATCAAGGGATCATACAAAAAGCTGGAAAACTCGGCTTGTACAGCTTCTCGCTTCTGTTCAATATGTTTATAGTGAAGGATGGTGGGAATATTACTGATAGGTAGGCAGCGTAAAATCCAGTTATCTGGAGCTTTGGGATATGAAGCTCTTTTTAAAGCTACGATCCCCTCCTCGGCGGGGATGTTAATACATGCGGCCCTTAGGGCCGCATGCACTAATATCCCCGCGGGGAGGGGATCGCAGCTTCAGAAGAAAGCTTCATATCCTGAAGCTCCGGATATCTGGATTTCATGCTGTCTACCTATCCGTAAGTATTCCTAGTACCCTTCACTATGAACATGTTGAAAAGGAGCGAGAAGCTGTACAAACCGCATTTTCCAGCTTTTGTATGATCCCTGATGATCCCCGGCGCTTTCCTTTAAAGTCATTTTTCTTTCTCCGAAGTTAACGAAAAACCTCCAAAGTTGTACTGAACATCTAACACAGTACTGCTAAGCATGTTGCTGATGAGAACAAATGACTTTTTGAAAAGTCTAATTTTTCGGTAAGCCTCAAATTTCGACCTGTGGATCATCGCAAATCTCATGACTTCAAAACATCATTTGTTCTTAGCAGCAACATGCTTAGCACTGTCGGGTTAGACAATCTGCACAACTCTGGAGATTCTTCGTTAACTTCGGAGAAAGAAAAATGACATTGAAGAAAAGCGCCAGGGATAATCAGGGATCATACAAAAGCTGGAAAATGCGGTTTGTACAGCTTCTCGCTCCTGTTCAACATGTTCATAGTGAAGGGTAATAGGAATACTTACGGATAGGTGCACAACGTGAAATCCGAGTATCTGGAGTTTCGAAATATAAAGCTTTCTTTTAAGCTGCGATCCCCTCCCCGCGGGGATGTTAGTGCATGCGGCCCTTAGAGTAGCGAGATATAACGCGTCCCCTCTCAGATCCCCTCCCTCCCGTGAGGGTGTACGTGCATGGGGCCTTAATAAGGGCAGGTAATAGGACCAATGCTGACCACTCCGGTGGTTATCCAAGTTCAGATATTTTGCGACCAAACTCCGATAAATCAAAATTTGACCAATATCCTTCTACCGATTCTATCTTTGCAATGTATGCTCATTAAAACGTCGCCCGCTTTTGTGAAGAGCATGATTTATTCTTCTAAACAAAAATGAAAGCAAGCAATTTGGTTTGAACATTGGAAGAGATGAGTTTTCGAAAATGGTGCCAGAATTTCGTTACAACTTAATGGAAGATTTTTCGCTTAAAATTTTTCCACGTACATATTATCAGAAAATTGCATTTTTGAAGCTTCTGTCACTAGTGTCTTGACATATCAAGGTATGCTCCCAAATTCTACTGCAGTAGTTTAAGTATATATGCATCGCACTCGTACATAACTGTATTCACGAACTATTATTTTATTGTTGCGTCTAATTGGACCTGAACGGGAATCAAGACAGCGAGCCAGCGGGATATTACTTTTAGATTAGTTCCCCTACTGCGGATTTGTACTCAGGAGATTAACCCGTTCCCGTGTGCCTCTATAAATATGATCCTTTAGTACTAAGGGTGATTGAGTGCCCCGTGGAACTCTATCCACTGCGGTGATTTTTTCATACTTCACTTTTGAGCCAAATGCAGTCGAATATTGTTACTTATGCAGTAAGTCTACACCTTGTTTGCGGAAAAAAAGAGAGAGTTTTATTGAGTGTTATTAGGTTTTATTCATATCAACTGGCATACTCTGCTCTGGGGACAAATCGAACTTTTTCGAAAACTCAACTTTGACCTCCGATACCGAACTGATACTTGCCGTAGCTAATCAAACAGATGGAGAAGAAATTATTTCTGACACAAATGCTACTATCCGTACTATTCATATCAACACTACTCCCATTTCCACTACATCTACTCGTGCTCCTACACTAGCTGAACTGCCTTGGCCACGTAAGCAGATATTTTTATCAACGTTTATTTTAAAGCAGATCAGCAAAATTTTAGGACCTGACTGTGCCGATGGAAATCTCACTAATGATCAGAGAGGCATTTTCCTTGATATGCACAATTATTACAGGTTGGTCATACAATTAAAGCTGGCATCATTACAAAATTGATTAATTTCAGAGCCAGTTTGGTTAGAGGTCAAGCAGTGGTCAATCCTGGTTCGGGATTAGCTCCATCTGCAGCGCTCATGTATCGAATGGTATGCAGGAGACTTCTCAAATACTTTTTTCTTTACTTTTTTTTACTTATAAAAGTTTCAGAAGTATGACTGCAATAAAAGTTTCAGAAGTATGACTGCACTGCAGAGTCATATGCGCAAAAGGCAGTGAGCAATTGCAGTTCCATCCCAATGCCTGAGCGTGATTTAGGAGGGCATAAACAGAATATTCATGTTTTAAGCACTGTTCAAACGACCGTAGAAGGAGCTATCCAGAACGTAGGTCGTTTGCGTGCTTTTGATACTGCTTCGAAGAAATTCTTTGTAGGCCGTTCTCACATGGTGGAGCGAATTGGCAAGATTTGGCTTCAGATCCAACATGGTGTTCTTTCCGAGTGATAGAGTTGAAAAAGCAAACGTCACGAGCTGGTCTAAGGTAGATCAAGAATAATTTTCCTCGTAAAAATCACACATTTTGATCAGGACTGGGAAAGCCAATAATTTTGTCTTTATTGCCAGTGAAAAAAACTTTTTGAGCTACTTTACGACTATACCTTTGTCATGAAGAGCAAAATTCATAGGAATGAATCAGTGGCGTACCGAGGGGGGGGGTGGCGGGGAGATGAGGGGGCGCATAGGTCGCGAAATTTTTGAAGTTACTCAAAGGCTGTAAATGTGCAGGCGAATTGAATTTATTTTTGAATAATTTTAAAAAATTTATTAGAATTATTAAAAATTCAAATTAGCCTTGTAAAAATTTTTTTTCGAGCGTGGCTTCTGCCGCGCTCCCTTTTTCTGAAATTTCGGGGTCAGGGGCCCGAAAAAATTTTGGGAAGCATACCAGAAATTTTTTTGGAGTGCGTGGCTAACGCCATGAACCATCATCCGAAAAAAATTATCGTCCCCCCCCCTCCTGAACAGAAATCCTGAGTACGCCACTAATTAATATGTAAGATGAACTCTGCTTTTTCGTCCATGGTAGCGCTCTTTTTTTCTCATTGATTGCAAAACATACAGATATGAAGGCGGGAGAGATGCAGGTTAATCAAATTGTAAAAATTTAAAGATAGGTGAAAAATATTATAGCGGATCACACGTATATCTTCCTCCCCCAAGCCTTTGTACGGCTTGCACGGGAAGCTCTCAATGAAAGTAGTTATGAAAGATAAGTAGTCATTTCCAAGTATTTATAGATGTCCTGGTGGGGCAACCAACGTCTGGGCTGCGCTGTCCAACATTGTAACAATTATTATCTGACTTCCTGCATGTATAGCCCCGGGTGAGTTATTTAGTTGACTCAATTTTTTAATTATTGACAAATCTTTTACAGAGGTAATAACGACTACTCTTACGTCTACCCTATAGGTGCCGTTTGCTCCGATTGTCCTGTTGGCAGCTGTGACAGCCAGTTACTATGTCGCTGGGAATCTGACCGATGATATTATGATATGTGTGGATAATATGTGTGAATTCTAACAAATTTCTATTTACTATTTATCATTTGTACAAAAAAAGTGAAGATGTAATTTTTGCAGTCATTTTCACATAGAAATGATCTTCGCTTGATATCCGATGTCTACTTTTCCGCGAGAAAAAGCTAAAAACCCCTCGTCAAGCACAATTCCGGGACACAAATTCTGTTTGAAACGTTTCATTGAAGTGGCAGTATCAACTTATTTATCCTATACGTTTATCTTGTCTTTTTTTTCTTTACATTAGCTTTACCTTATGCTTGCAAATGAAGATTGACTGTGCATCATTCATTGTACTCTTGTTAAAATTTATTCACTCGCGATGAAGTATGAATGAAAGGCGCCTACGTACGGAGGTAGGATTTCCAGCCTGCTTCTCCATATCTTCTACTGAAACATGACAATTATCGAAAAATAAGCGCCCTATTAATGGCAAACTTACTTTTAACGGCAGAGTTTCTGGCTATCACAGCTTAGTGATGGACAATCCGAACACACAGCTCCGATAAGGTAAACGTGAGCATGGTCGTAATTGCCTCTGCAATACTCGATGAGCTATTTACATTTCCAAGGAGAGTCGTTTACCCGGGGCTGTACATGCATGATAAGTAGTATGTTCCACAATGTTGTACTGCACATCCAACGCGCCGATTGTTCCACCAAGCCATCTGTAACAGAAATGCCGGTTTTAAAAATCATAAAGTAGTTATCCTCGAGTCATTTGTAACTCAATATGTGAGTCTGCACACTATGCGCTGCAACCGACGACACCTTCATTATAACTCCTAGTAAACCTTTTGCTAGCGTAGTAAATTGTGGAAATGTGCACTATTGACTAATACATACATAAGCAAAAATTACTAAAAATGAACAGATTCAATCTTACAAGTCGTCAAGTAGCGCGCATAATGTGCTCTACGCACAGTAAGTCACAAATGATACAACGATCTATGAAGGACCTTCGACCAATTTAGCACACTTCGAGATCCACGATTGTGTTCGCTCGGGAAGAAAAGCATGTTAGATCTGAAGCCATATTTGGCCAGTTCGCTCCACCACGTGACCATAGTCTTGGGCAATTTATTGCTTAGTATTCTTCTGCGTAAGGAAATAATGCTTACGTTCTGTATAGCTCCTTCCGGCGTTGTCTGAACCGTGTTCAGCACGTGTAAGTTTTGTTTATGTCCTCCAAGAGCATAAGCTGGTGTTGGTGTCTTTTTACATGTGCTTACAATCTGCTGCGCATAGGACTCAGCATCACAGTCGTACTTCTAAACGAACTATAATTGTAGTGAAAGGGTAAGGGTAACCTCACCATCCTATACATTATAGCTGCAGGAGGTGCTATGCCCCAACCAGCGCTGGCTTCCGTAACTCCTTTTGCGAGACTCGATCTTAAAACAGAAATGGAGACAAATCGCCGCATATCTACGTCATACAGCGACTTGTATAAAAATTGTAAGTTCACTCACCTAAAATTATTGTGCATGTCCAGAAATATACCTCTCTGTGTGTTGGTGAGTCTCGGATTCCCGCAATTCGGCCCTCAAGTGTTCCTCTTAAATTCTTCAAGTATGGTAAAAGCTAAGCAACCTACTGGGCCAAGCTTTGGTCGTGAATGGAGGAGTAGTCGTAGGCGCTCTAGAGGTAGATGTGGAACTAGCTGCGATAGATGTCGTTGGAGACAGAGAGCTGGACGAAGTGATCGCAGAAGTAGAAGAAGCGGGTGAAGATAGCGTAGTAATCGTGGTACTAATTGGAGAAACTGTAGAGGGAGTAGTAACTGTAGTGCTAGCTGAGGTTACTGTACTGGGTGTAGTAACTGTAGAACTGGTTGAAGTAACTGTACTGGGTGATGTAACTGTAGTACTAGTTGAAGTAAGTGTACTGGGCGTAGTAACCATAGTACTGGTTGAAGAAACTGTACTGGGTGTTGTAACTGTAGTACTAGTTGAAGTGACTGTAGTAGCCGTTGATGTGCTAGAACTCGACGATTCCGTCTGTGCACAAACATTTTCAAGAAGTATGAGCAGTACCTTAATTCAAATATAGGACGCATTCAAATTTACTAAAATTACAAAATTCTCTCACCAATCGAATGATGATAGCCATCGCCATAATGACGGGTGGTTTGGTTTTTTTGTTGGAATGCTGTTTTCGTTTGAAATCTCATGGTGAACCAATAATAATAATAACCACAATAAGCACTCTGTTATAGGCCAATACAACGCAATCACCCTTTCATATCCATGCGCGCTTTTTCGTACAAATTTACTAGTCAGTGTGATTTAAATAATATGTAGGCCCTGGACTTTGATGACAACTAAAGATGTGGGTTATCCTTATCTGCCAATTCGTGAGAAAAAATTGTTTAAGGACTGTTATTTTTGGACTATAAACTGGTAAACTATAATATAATAGAAGTACACCTTTACAAGAAATATCGAAAAAAAGAGCAGGTACAACTTTATAAATAAAAACTCCTCCTACAAAAATACACCTAGCTATTTGAATCAGGGCTCGACACAGGTTCATAAGGAAGCTGGATATCGTTTTTGGGTCAAAAAGCAAAGGCGACATCGTTTTTGTGGATCAGAAATTAGATTTCCTTACAATTAGATTTGGATATTTCGGATAAAGGTCAAAGGGACTTCGTAAAATTTTCCGAAAGTAAGGAAAGAAAGTTCGTTTCTTACATTTTCGGAAAGCCAACCCGTGCCGAGCCCTGAATCAATTACAGAGACGACACAAGTGGAAATTTTAACGGCACAGAAATTGGCTATCACAGCTGTAAGCGGGACAATCTTCACATACGGCGCCAACGCGGTAGACATGGGCATGTTCGTAGTTTCCTCTTGAACAAGATTATTAATTTTAGAAATAATATGACCTGGACCTCACCCTGGACTATACATGCACGTTGTCACATAGTACGTGCCACAATGTTGAATCGCGCATCCTACACGTCTATTACTCCACCAGGCCATCTAGAATTTGTTTCGAAGGCAAGGAAAAGGAATAGAAATTCTTGGCTGTAAAGTACCTTAGACCAATTAGTGACGCTATGTGCTCCACGTTGCCACTCGCTTGGAAAGAACATCATGTTTGATCTGAAGCCGAATCTTGCCAATTCACTCCACCAGCTGACTAAAGCCTAAAAATCTTCAACTCAGTAAAACATCGATCCTTGTCTAGACTTTACGTTTTGTATAGCTCCTTCCCTAGTTGTTCGTACTGTGTGCAGAACATGGAGATTCTGTTTATGTCCTCCAAGGGCATGAGCAGGTAGCGGAGTTGTTCTACAAGTGCTTACAGTTTGTTGTGCGTACGACTCTGCATCGCAATCGTACTTCTGAAATTATTCAATTAGAGGTTTTAGAACCTACAAGCGACTTACCATTCGGTACATCACTGCTGCAGGTGGAGCAATGCCCCAACCGGCGCTCTTTTCTGTCAAACCTTGCGCCAGACTTGATCTAAAATAGGCTCTGATGTAGCTCATGCTCCAGGATTATTTCCTTTAGAATATACCAGACTCGTCATCAGACTAATCAAACGTTTAGAAAAAGATGAGACCTGAAGTTGTTATGCATATCCAGAAATAGAGCTCGCTGTTTATTAGTGAGCCTTGGGTTTGGACAGTCTGGCCCTCAATACAAGAGATCAGCGCTAATTTGAAAATTCAAAGGTGATGGAGCTTACTAGGCCAGCGACGAGTAGTGGTAGGTACTGTCCTTGTAGGCGCCACGGTTGTGGTGGGTATCGTAGTCGTGATGGGTGTCGTAGTAGGTTTTTCGGTCGTGGTAGGAGTGGTAGTGGTAGCGAAAGGTGTGGTCGTGGAAGGTGAAGTAATTGTGGTAGTAGTTGTAATGGGTGTCGTAGTATCTGTCGTGGTAGGAGTGGTAGTGGTAGTGGAAGGTGTAGTCGTGGTAGGTGAAGTAATTGTGGTAGTAGTTGTAATGGGTGTCGTAGTAGGTTTTTCGGTCGTGGTAGGAGTGGTAGTGGTAGCGAAAGGTGTAGTCGTGGAAGGTGAAGTAATTGTGGTAGTAGTTGTAATGGGTGTCGTAGTATCTGTCGTGGTAGGAGTGGTAGTGGTAGTGGAAGGTGTAGTCGTGGTAGGTGAAGTAATTGTGGTAGTAGTTGTAATGGGTGTCGTAGTAGGTTTTTCGGTCGTGGTAGGAGTGGTAGTGGTAGCGAAAGGTGTGGTCGTGGAAGGTGAAGTTATTGTGGTAGTAGTTGTAATGGGTGTCGTAGTAGGTTTTTCGGTCGTGGTAGTGGTAGTGGAAGATGTAGTCGTGGTAGGTGAAAGTATTGTGGTAGTAGTAGTCGTAATCTTAGGTGCCGCAGTCGTAGTAGATGTAAAGGAAGTGGGCGGTGTAGTCGGTAAGTACTGCGTCTTAGTAGGTCTGTAAGTCGCAGCAGATGATGTCGTGCCGGTGTTAGTCATGGTGTATGTTGTCATTGTGGTAGGCGTGGTAGTCGAAGTAATTGGAAGAATCCTAGTAGTCGTGGTCAATGTGGTAAGCGCTGTGCTTGAAGAAGACGATGGCCTTGTTGAGGTAAGTGAGGAAGTCTTAGTAGGTGTGGTAAGCGTGGTGAGTGTGGTGCTTGAAGTAGATGATGTCCGTGTAGTAGGCGATGCAGATAAGGAAGCTGTAGTAGGTGTGGAAGTGGTAATGATTGTGCCGGAAGTAGATAACATCCGTGTAGCAGTACTAGTGGATGTTGGTGAGAAGGTCGTACTCGGTGTGGTAATCGTAGTAAGGATGGTGCTTAAAGTAGGTGGCGTCCGTATAGTGATACTAGTCGAGGTAGGCGAGGAAATCGTAGTAGGTGTGGTAATTGTGGTGAGAGTAGTGCTAAAAGTAGGTGTTGTCATCGTAGTAGTCATTGTAAGCGAGGAAGTAGTGGGTGTTGTGATCACAGTTGAAGTAGGTGAGGAAGTCGTAGTAGGTGTGGTAAGCGTGGTAAGCGTTGTGCTTGAAGAAGGTGATGTCTGTGTAGTGATACTTGTTGAGGTAGATGAGGAAGTCGTAGTAGGCGTGGTAAGCGTGGTAAGCGTTGTGCTTGAAGAAGGTGATGTCCGTGTAGTGACACTAGTCGAGGCAGGTGAGGAAGTCGTAGTAGGTGTGGTAAGCGTGGTAAGCGTTGTGCTTGAAGAAGGTGATGTCTGGGTAGTGATACTTGTTGAGGTAGATGAGGAAGTCGTAGTAGGCGTGGTAAGCGTTGTGCTTGAAGGTGATGTCCGTGTAGTGATACTTGTTGAGGTAGATGAGGAAGTCGTAGTAGGTGTGGTAAGCGTGGTAAGCGTTGTGCTTGAAGGTGATGTCCGTGTAGTGATACTTGTTGAGGTAGATGAGGAAGTCGTAGTAGGTGTGGTAAGCGTGGTAAGCGTTGTGCTTGAAGAAGGTGATGTCTGTGTAGTGATACTTGTTGAGGTAGATGAGGAAGTCGTAGTAGGCGTGGTAAGCGTGGTAAGCGTTGTGCTTGAAGAAGGTGATGTCCGTGTAGTGACACTAGTCGAGGCAGGTGAGGAAGTCGTAGTAGGTGTGGTAAGCGTGGTAAGCGTTGTGCTTGAAGAAGGTGATGTCCTGGTAGTAGTACTAGTCGAGGTAGGTGAGAAAGTAGTAGTAGGTGTGGTAAGCGTGGTAAGCGTTGTGCTTGAAGAAGGTGATGTCTGTGTAGTGATACTTGTTGAGGTAGATGAGGAAATCGTAGTAGGTGTGGTAAGCGTGGTAAGCGTTGTGCTTGAAGGTGATGTCCGTGTAGTGACACTAGTCGAGGTAGGTGAGGAAGTCGTAGTAGGTGTGGTAAGCGTGGTAAGCGTTGTGCTTGAAGAAGGTGATGTCTGTGTATTGATACTAGTCGAGGTAGATGAGGAAGTAGTAGCGGGTGTTGTGGTCGTGGTAGCTGAAGCGGTAGATATAGTAAGTGTGGTAAGGGTTGTACTCAGAGTCGGAGTATTAGTCGTTATAGGCGAGGTAGCCGTGGTAGGTGTGGTGGTTGTAGTAAGGGTTGCTGTCGGAGTAGGTGCTGTGATTGCAGTAGGGGCACTAGTCGGAATAGTGGTAGTTGCTACAGTTGCCGCAGTGGGCGTATTAGTAGGGTTAGGTGTACTTGTAGTAGTAGGTGAAGTAGTCGTAGTGATTGTGAATATTGTGCTACTTGATGGATCTGTGGCTTCAGGGATGGCTGCAGTGGGTTTAAAGGCACTGCCTTGCGTTGTTTTGATCGTGGTACTTGAAGCAGTACTGGCTGAAGATGTCATGATTGTTACCGTAGCCTTAGTAGGCATGAGCATAGTAGTTGCAAAAGATGGTATGCTAGACGCTGCAGTATTTGCCGTAGTTCCAGCTGTAGGTGTGGGGATTGTTCCACTTACAGGCGTGACTGTAGCATATGTGACAGTTGTAGGTGAACTCGTGGTAGGCATCGCTACTGTGCTTATATCAGAGCTAACTGCAGCAGAAGCGGTAGTTCTGGATGGTTCTGAAACCGCCGTAGTGACTGCTGCAGTTGAAGAGGACGCTGCAGTTGTGGTAGGTACTGTGACTGAACTAGCCAGAGTCATCGGGCTTGGCGTCTGAGTCGTAATCGGTGCCTCTGCTTCCGGTAGCTCAGTTATTACTGTAAGCTTGTCAGGAACAGAGGCGGCAAGTACAGTGGAGGTGGACGGTATAATTGGGTCTTTCGTGGACGAAACTGCTATAGGAATAATACAAGTAGGAATCGTAGATTGACTGTTTGTAGTAGAAGTTATAGTGGAGTTTATAAGCATGGATGTAGTTATGTCAGGTCTCGTAGAATCTAAACTTGCAGCTTTACATAATAAATCTGTTAATTTTTTTACAAAAGGTTACCTGATGATTGAAGTGATTGTTGCGCCCATACATTTGCGATGAGCACCATCTAAAGTAACGTGTTATCTCAAAAGTTTTATTTCTGCATGTGAAGTTCAAACTTACTATTCGAATCATAGCGGTCAGTTCCACATCGATTCAACGTTCGCTATTTGTGATAGAATCGGAAGAGGAACATGAGCGAGATTTGAATGACCAGGAATAACAAAGGATGGCCATTCTGTAGAGCTGGTCAGATCCCCTGTTTTCCACCGTGGTTGTTGTTAGCCATCATTTTTGTTTACTACGGCTATATTGAATAATCGTAACATTTGGTTTTGCTTCAAGCTGTGCAGTTAGACAGTAGCCTCGGTTTTTGCACATCGACTATCACAGGAAAATGGTGTAAGACCTGCAGATATACAGATTCTGAACGACAGACTATCCTAATTAGACAATATGGTTAACGATGAGATGATGTATGACCTCTTTTCGACTGGTTTGTAGGAACGAAAGAAATTCTTTTTCTTAGCTGCTGTAAGATCATATATTTACAATCTATTAGATGACATAGCGCGAGGGCAACTCAAAAGTTTCCACTTTTATGATTATCGCAGACATCTTGCAAAGCTGCAATGCTGAGGACTTTCTTCACTTGGCAGATAAACTTGCTCATTCTGTGCAGCAACGATCTGTGTAAATAGACTTAGCGTAAAAAATTCTAACCAAGGAGTCTTGAAACATCTAGAAATACAGGATCTTCAGCGATGTCTGTACGTGGGAAGTCTGAATGCGATTAACATTGATCATAAAGACGTCGCGATGCGAATTCTATGGTAAAATGTTCTATGTAATAGAAGAAGCATGTGAGTAAAACGTGAAGAAGAAAAAGAAGGAAGTGATTAAATTTTTTACGCACATCATAGACTTTTAGGGGTCGGGATAAGTGCAGCGCGGGGTTTTTTCTTTTGCTTTCACATTGAGAAACAGAAAAAACTTATGCTACAGCAGACGGTAGATTGTATTATTTTATAAACTTACTATAAAGTCGTTTGAGTACCTCCACTAAGATTTTTTGACAAGGGGCACAGAAGAATGGATTATGACCAGAGAGAACATAAATTGTTGGAGAATTGTGCATTTCATATAAAAATGGCTAGAAGGTTATGAAAGTGCAGATATTTTGCAGACTATCACTTTCGCATCCCTCCTAGGACTATTTTTTGCTTGATTTTAACATAGAGCAAGAAGAAGTCGGACTAAGCAAACAAGAATTGGTCGTTATGCGTTCTTTGATGTCTGCAGATTGCAAAACATTGCGCAAGAGGCATTGCTATTTGTCCACAATGTTACTATGAATCTATAGTTCGTTATTCTTCAGCACCTTTCAAATGTCATTCCACCTTATGCTTTTTCGTTACAATTTTTCACTTCTCACAAGGGAAGCGTCATTAGTCGAAGTGGCCTTTCCAGATGAATCCCATACTGCTTTGAAGAGCATTAAGCGGTGATTCCAAATCTGCTCCAAATCTGCCAAGCGCCTCTTGCCGCCGAGTTATGACCATTTTTTGAAACGAAAAATGAATGCAGAATTTAGGTAAAATCGATTGTTACAATCTTTTCAGTGCTTAGATAAAGCAATGTTAAGCGTTAGCATATTAGACAAAATGTATCCGTTGCATAAACGGCTCTGATACTTGACACTGGACCATTTGAGTAAATTTGGGTGATTTTGTTCCAGTTTTGCGTTCAATTTTTTGACCTGGAAAACGCCCATAACTCGGTGTCCAAAGGCGCTTGGCAGATTTGGAATCACCGCTTAATGCTCTTCAAAGCAGTCTGGGTCTCATCTGGAAAGGCCACTTCGACTAATGATGCTTCCCTTGTCAGCATTTTCATTGTTTGCATTTATAATTGATCTGTATGCTTCCATGATTGACTAGACCCTTCCTCTTTTGAATAGTAAATGTTTTTTGGTCTTTCATCATGTCTCTTGTTGCAAAAACTTTGTTAATTATCAGCAAACCTTATTCACTTTCAGTCTGCAGATTCTAATCTAACTAATGTCGCTTTTCATTCCGGAGAAAGACCATTTACGACCCTTATAAGACTTTGAGTAAGGTTGATTGAGACATTACATTTCCGATCCAAGATCCAATGAGACTTATACTTTAGAGGAAGTACAAGCGGCTTTTCACGGATCACCTGGATGGGCTTTATCCAAATGTTCCATATTCATTGAATAAGCGGAAAAGATGGATGACCGTGAGAATAATCTCTTTTCTATGGTTCTAGAATTCCTTTTTTAGGTTTTTTTAGACAAGTCCTGCATCACTGCTGGCTAACCAAACTTCCTCGCTCGAACTCTGTGTAGTCAATAAAAAAGCGACTAATTGGCACACAACCAGTGAGTCATACCTTCTTTGGGAATGAAACCGTGGGTGCAACCTTATAATTTTATATTCATTATGAACATGCATATAATATTTTATCAGTCATATTGAAGTTTGGGTCACTTTCATTTTAGTAAGATTTTTCTAAAATCATCAGTGGCGTTCCGATTTGGGTGAAGGATGGCTTTACGCCCTCAGAAAATTTATGAGGATGGCTTTACGCCCTCAGAAAATTTATGAGGATGCCTTTTAGAAGGTTTTGCAAGAGGGGCGTAGCGGCAGTCAAAAATTTATGTAAATTCAATGCTGATTTGAGAATTCAAAGGATCTTCGACATTCACAAATAAAAAGAAGTCATGGCTACCTCGAAAACTAGCAACCCATTCCCTTTTCCTTCGTTCGCCGCCATATAATAATTGATATTACTATTGTTTACTAACAATGTCAAATTTCTGATTTGGCGGATAGATCCCCGTAGTTGTGAGGGCGAAGGTGAGATTTTGCATGACTACATCGAAGGAGTATCAAAATCTTCATTTGAAATTATGTTCTGCTGTTTTTTATCCCCATAGCTGCATATTGTTTGAGCTAACTTCTTTTCAGTTTACGACCATAGCGCAAACATAGTCACACATTTTCACGTGCTTGATGATGATGTCATCACAACATTTTCCGCAACCAGAGGCAGACAATCGGTAAATTCCTCATTCAAGATGAATTTCCTTGAGTTTTTGTTTCAGCTGCAATTTTATACGAATCTGCTGGGAGAGGAACGAGGATTAGACAAAGACGAAGCAGAACCAGCTCGAATGCACTACAATGTCGTCTCACATCAGCCTGTAAAAGGATTCGATTTTAAACAGAATAGAAAATTTGGTTGAGAACAGTCATTACGATATGAGTACTTGTTTACTATTGAAGACTTTAAGGACGAACGGGCGAAGAAGATAGCAAAGCTACTAGAAGAAGACTGAAAAGGACATCAAAGAAGTTGTGCATTGATGAAGCTTTCCCCAGTGAGCGGATTGAAATTGACGAAGAGAAGGAAATGTCAAACTGTTGCGAGGCAGAAGTTTCACGGTCAGCAATTTGCTCGGATTTTTTGGTTCGATTTGATGTTACTTTGAGCTTTAGCCAACTATCTCTTGAAGACTTTATGAGAATCGAGCAGCCGTCAACATCCCCAAATCCGAAAAATATCCCTAGCAGCAATGGGGTATCTTCCTTTGAGGTCCTATAAGCGTTTTGGGAAAGTTGAAGCAACAGATGGTCACGTTGAAACCATCCAAGATGATTGACATTTCTACTGCCACAAATGCTCCAGGTGTTTTTGAAAATAACAATCTCAAACTAAGCAAGCTCGATACCTTCGACCTAAAAGAAGAGGTTCGCTGGACGAATTGCTCGACTCAATGTTAGCTGAAGACTTTTAGATTCCATTATTGGCTCCAGGATACTGTGCTGTGCACTGGTTTGGCCCAGAACGTGTATCTGTTGCTAGCAAACTGTCCAGCAATCCAAGTCCAGTGTTTGTGCTTTTCTTTGAGCTTTCAAGGAAGACGGACATTCTCAGGTAAGTGAAAGCTACAAATTATGCTAAGCCTTCCTTCTCCCCCCCCCCCCCCCCCTCCCCTCTTCCCGCGGGAGACGGTCAAGATGCACGGGATCAACAGAGGTCACCAACTTAACAGCCTAATTTAGAGATATGCGTGTCTATTAATGATACCAGGAAAAGTGCTCTAGCTTACCAATGTTATATTTGCTATATTTTTTCCGAATGTTATATTTTTTGAATGAGTCACGAAAGAATGCAGATATCCTGTATCAATCTGTAAATAACTACAACAGTTAAAGTTTCCAAAATTTAGTTAGCTCTATGGCGCTGGCCGATTTTTTTCCAAAAAAAATTTGGGCCATAAGTTCGCGAAAAATTTCAGGAACCATAAGTTGAGAAAAAAATTTTGGTCCAGCTACATTTTCCCCTCCTCATCGAAAAAAATTTTTTTGATGGCACTGGTAATTTGATTTATAATTTAGGATTCGCATTAATACTGATGCACAATTCAACGCTGACAACAGCAAGGCAGCTCTCATCGAGCTTCTAGAAACGCGGAAAAACTTTCCTTCACTGTTCAAAGATCTGCTAGACTTCATATTTGCTCTGGATATGATGCAAATTGCGAGTTTTGACTTATCACTTTTGGAAGAGGGTTGTGGTTTAGACCTCCACCGGAAAGTTTCCTCAGATTCACAGATTGCAAGGGAAACTTTATGGCCGGTGTCAATAGTGCTATGCTGGCCATCGAGGTGAAAATGTTCGCTTGTTTATACACGCATTCATTTGAATATTGCAATTTTTAAGGCAGACCGAGCTGACACATTTGCTCAGCTAGAGCTTCTACGCTCTTACTATCAGAAAATGGATTCAGATTGAAGGTAGTCTTCATGTAGCTCTTCATACATAAAAAATTCCTTCACAGGAAGCCAGAATAATACTTCTTTACAGGAAGCCAGTGTCTGCCATAAATGCAAATGCCCTTATAAAAATGATCTTTTTGCGTCCAGCAACGGTACGATCTGCATAGAATGTATTGCTTCTAATGTTCTGCATCAGATTCGCCTTAATCGTTTCCCGTTGGAAATTCCGGTTAGTACCATGTATCATTTAAATTCTTCCTAGACATTTTCTTCAAGCTTGATTCCTGGCTCAGCTCACCAGTCAATCTCCTCTACGCCATTTTGCCTGTATCTGTAATGTCATTGCTTTCAAAGGTACGGTTATTGGTTATTATGAGATTCGGTTCTATAAGTTTCGCATGGAAAAGGATGTTTCTGGAAATTCGTGAGCATATATGGGGCAACTTTCTGTTCTCTGCAGATGTCTTATCGATATTTCAATGCCTTGGATTACCCGAATGCACATTTGGTCGAATGTCCTCGGTGCTGCATGGATCTCATCATAAAAATTCTCAATAGTGAGTATCGGCGCTACTCATCCGTTCATCTCTTCTTACTTTCCTCCCTCCTTTCTTCTCTTTCCCTGCTGGAATTTCCCCAGTTATCGTATTGGTATTATAGTGTACAATAGCTGCATATGTCCGAACCGTAAGTGCAATTTCTGTTATCGGTGCAAGTGGGAACCACACTGGCCACTCAGCTGCGAAGAATTCAATGAGTGGAGCGGGAAATGGAGCCAACAGTGTAAGATACATCCCAGAATATCTCATAATGTAGTAATCAATTTTTTTAGATTTGTTTGATAAGTTCATGTTGGATCCGGGTGAAAGACTACTTAAAGTAAAGTGCTATTGCAAAGATTTTCTATATGTACGTCTGACTTATTAATAGTCTTGCAAAATTTTTGTAGTTATTTTCCACCTTTTAGATTCCCAAATTCGGTCCACATTTCACTTTTTGCACACGAATCTGTCAGTATCAAGGAGATATAGTACATGGGACGTACCAGTGCCACGGGTGTTATGACCAAAGTGGTCTTCTCCGTCCTTCGCGCCTAGGAGCTTGGCCTTATTCACCTTATTTTCGCAAAGAGCTCCATCCAAACTTTGAGAAATACGTCAGTATCTCCCCACTACACAAAGCTTACCTCAAATTACTTACTCTTACGGAGATCCAATTCAGCCAGAGTATTTGGAGCAGAAAAAACTAATTAACAAGTTATATGCTGAGGTTAATTCCAACGAAATTTTGTATCGAAGTTAAAAACAAAGGTTCCAGATATGTGCTGAGGTGCGAAAATTCATGTTTGACAAATCGAGACGAATGGAATATGAAAATGCAGTTAAACGCCAGTTGGACTCGAAACCAGAACAACTGGAAATGAATGATTTGGGAAAAAAGTATGAATATAATGGTTATTCACTACGAACTTCTTGAGAACACATTTCAAGGTTCTCTTTCTTGTCGACACTGCATGGCTTGGTTGTACCTTCATCGGTACCAGAGGAGAGTACTTCATTTGCGAAGGAGTGTGCTACTACTGTTTCATAGATTCATGAACTTTCAAGCCAAAGTCTTGGATCATCGGTAAACTTAAAACTTAGTTCCCAATAGGCTATGTGGAAATAGATGTCTTGGCTCAGGTATCAGCGAAGAACAAAAGCTCAGGATGTGGAAGAAACAATAGGCATTGTTATCGACTCCTTCAAAAATTATACGGAGTCCATTTGATAAGCTCAGTGAAAGCTCTAATTGTAGATATTGTAAGAAGTAAATAGTAATGTTTTTGTGATTGTTGTCTTAGTGAATAGCTTTATGTGTTCGATAGAATCTGGCGTTGTCATTATATAATTAGTCATGAAAATCACGTTCGACGTTTCTAGGCTCTGATCTAGCATCTCAATTAGCACTAAAAAAAATGTATAATCGAAGTAACCTTCCCGATCAGGTGTATGCCGTCCTATCATTAACTATAGGCACCGTCCACTCTAAGTTGAGGATCTTGAGCTTTTGGCAGCATATGATAGTAAGGCCCCCTATCAAGCCAATGCCCAAGTCGCAGCGCAATATGTCGCTTCGGAAGCAAGAAAATAGCTCCGGATAACGAAGATGCATGAGGACTCCCAGACGGCACTGCCCTCCCCATACATGCCCGCCATCCATGCGCGCCCATTCAATCGCCTTCTGGAAAGCCGGCCTGTGGGTTCTCCGGAACGGGGCTTGTCGCGATTTTCGCGGATTCTCGACTTCATATTCGCAATCAGGGACATGAGAAGGTCCTGAAACGACAAATATCTGGAAGTTAAGAATATGGGAGGACGGTGCCTTTACTTGGAACGCTGATTTCGAGAAAAAGATCTTTTCGAAATGTTGAACCGGCTGCTGATAATAATTTATCACGAACAATCTTCCAAGCCCTCAAGTGAAGCATTCCAAATGTCTCTGCACTCGGATAATTGAACTTTCTGCAAAATACCCATAGTCTGCGCTGGTCTGTTCAAGCTTTAGTAAGATTGTAAGGAAAAAGTATCGAGCGCTTTAAATTTCTAGATAAAAAACACTCATAACTTATCATAAAGAATTTCTGAGATAACTGAAACAGACTTTGAAATAGCGTTACTTGCGCAACAATGTGGTATGCATCTCAACTAAGTAGGCCACTTTGACTGAGCGTTCTTTCCATGCAAATCATATCAGCTTGTTTAATAGTCTGCCAGTAAAGATTGGACTAATCTGTTTGTATGTACTCATCAAATTAGCTGAAGCCTGAAGACCGCGAGTTTTTGAAAGCTGAAATCAGAGAAGTATTTCTTCCTTAAAATAAGTCTACATGTTGGAGCAAATAGTAGTCGATTTCGCTATATCTGACGAATATGATGTCAATAGCTCAGATTACCAACTTTCTGCAAGTGCGCGGATTTATGAAGTAATTGTTCGCGATTCTTATTGCAATGAGTTGCATTCCTTTCTTATCACTGTCAGGCATATGTAGAATCTTCAATGCTGGTTAGCGTATTGTGTAGTTGACACTATTGCATATCAGTGACACATCCTAAACCAGCGCCTTTCTTCCCATCCCTCCCCCCCCCCCCCAATTTGCGAATGAATCGCAAATTTTTTGAAAGTTACACGAAATTATAAAAATGTGCAAATGATTTCTTTATATTTCTAATCGATTGAAATAATTCTCTAAAAACTTAGCTTCGTGATAAAAGAAACTAATTCGGGGGGGGGGGGAGGGGGGGGGGGGTCGCAAAAAATCTAGGAAGCACCCGAAGGGAATTTTTCACGTTTCTATGGAGATCCCATTCGCACAAATTTAAGCTATTGACAAACATTCATAAAGGTTTTTTGTACTTTTTCCTTGGCTTTGGACTGAAAAATCAAAAATTTTCGTGTTTCTCAAACCGTCCTCAAACATCGTATTCTGGGTTCTTAGGCTAAAATCGTCATACTCCAAGAACTACTGCTTGCAAAGATCCATTAAATTTACAATTTTATTTACAAAGACTTGCAGCATATACCGAGTAGTGTTGTAAGAAAGGCTCAACATTATTATCAGAAAAACGCAAAATATTTTGATTTTTCAGTTTTTTATGCCGTATATGTAAATGTATGCGAGTGAAAGTTTCGGAAGATTTTGAACGGAAATTTGAATTTTTTTTTTGAATTTATGCAAATATTGTAGCATTACGTATAAAAGTGGCAAAAATTTATGAATATGCATATGCTCTCAAAACATTGTCCTACCTAAATTTGGAACTCTTTTCTGACGAGAACAGCATGAGCTAAGCAAACGATGCCCGTTGTGCGTTCTTTGGTGGCTGTAGATTACAAAACGTTGCGCAATAGACACTGCACCTTGTCCACAATCAATTTTGCTATAAGTTTGTAGCATTTCGCTATTCGTCACCTTCAGACGTCAGTTTTGCTTTACTTAGCCTTTTTCCAATCCCTTAATTACAGCCTTTTTTGTTGGCATAATTTCTAAGCCCTAATTCCTAACATTCTTACACTCAAATGACAAAAGTTTGTAGAAATACTGATTCAACTTGATGTATGTGTATACTACTCACTTCTGTTTTTTTTGATTGGACCTCATCATCGTGCTCATAAAGTTTCAATTCTAGACTTTTTCAACAAAAAAAAACTTAAGCTTACTTTTAACAGTTTTCTTGCAGATTCTAATTTGACTAATGTCACTTTTCGGTCTAGAGGATTGCCTTTGCGAGTAAGAGATGTTTAAAAATTATAAATTGATATTTTTGAAGTGAACTTTGCTGTTTAGCAGTAATACAAGCCGCAGACACAAAAAACATATTGCTCACTATCCGGGCAAAAAGGTCACCGATCAAATCGTAGTCGTCAAAACGATTTATGACCCTCATAAAACTTTGAGTAAGGTGTGTGAAACAAATACTTCCGATCCAAGATTGAAGAAATTTTATCCTTTAGAAAAAGTACAAGAGGCTTCTCGCTGATTCTTTAGATGGGTTCTATCCACATGTTCCATATTCATTGAATAAGAGGGAGAGATGGACAACCGTGAGATAATTTTCGTTTGAGTTTTGGAATCTATTCTAACTTCTCTCCAGGTAACCCCTGCATCACTATTGGCTCACCAAACATCTGATCTGCCCGAACTTTGTGTAGTTAACAAAAAAGCGTCTGATTGGAATATGTACAGTGAGTCGTACCTTGATTTGTAAAAGAAGACTACGGGTGCAAATAGCTTCATACTTCATTATCGACATGAGTTATCAGAGATATTTTATCTTTCCAACCGAAGTTTCAATGTAACTTGTTTACCGATATCATCGATCAATATTTTGTCTTATTACTTTACCCTTATTATCGTTCTCTTCAATATTAATATCAGTTATTATATTATCGTGTTATTAATGGAATTAGTATTCTTTTATTCTTCATATTAACGTTATCTAATTATCACGAGTATAATTACGCCGGCGATAAGTGGAAATATGGACGGTGTAATAATAACTCTAATACTGATATCAATAGTTGAAATTTTTATCGATTCCATGTACGGCTATTACCTAATTTGGTAAACAGATCTTTAATTGTAAGTCATTGAACGGTTGTGGTGAGATTTTGGTAATTAGTATGTATCCGAAAGGAGAGTTACCACATTGTTTACTTAAATCCCATTAGTTTTTTTTTTCATGAAGCCTCATACAATTAATTTTCAGCCGACCAAAGCACGCATAAAGTCACAGCATTTCACGTGCTTGATGATGATGTCATCACCACACTTTCTGCAACCGGCGGTGAACAATCGGTGATTTTATAGTTTAACGTTACTCTCCTTTCATTTCTATTTTAGCTGCATTACTATGAAAATATGTTGAGAGAAAAGCGTGGAATCGATAAAGACGAGATGGAACCAGCTCAGATGCACTACAGCATAGTGTCACCTCCTCCTGTACAGAGATTCGAATCTAGGAAGAACAGGAAACTTGGTTGGAAACAATTATCTAAAAATGAGATCTAGTTTAACGTCGAAAATTTTAAGGACGAACCGATGAAGAAAACAGAAGAGCTATTAGGAGAAAATTGAAAATCACATTAAGGAAGCTGTGTCGCATCACTGAAGCTTTCCCTAATGAATGTATGCAAAATAATGAAGAGGATGAAATGCCAGACTTTTGCAAGGCAGAGTTTTCACGGTTAGCAAACTGGGATCTTTCACGTTCGGTTTGGTATCACTTTGAGTTTTAGCAAAATAGCTCTCAAAGACTTTATAAGCATCGGCCAGCCATCAACATCCCGTAGTCCAAAAAATACTCCTAGCAGCAATGTGACATCTTCCTTTGAGGTAGTATAAGTGTTTCCGAAAATTGAATCAATTTTTTCGTAGAAAAACAGCTTCAGTTGGTCACGTTGAAACCACCCAAGATGATTGACATCTCTTCCGCCACAAATGCGCTAGGTGTTTTTGAAATTATCGATGTCAAATTGAGCATGCTCGCTACATTCGACCTACAGGAAGAGGTTAGCCTCATCAATTACTTACAGTCAGCTTCAATTATAGAATTTTCAAGATTTCGTTATTGGCTCCAGGATATTGTGATGTTCACTGGTTTGGGTCAGAACGTGTATCTGTAGCTAGCACGCGGTCTACCAATCCAAGTCCGGTATTTGTAATTTTCTTCGAGCTTCCGAAAAATACGGACATTCTCAGGTATGCGAAATGTTAAGCGTTTATCTTTTCGACTTATTACATTCAAGCTCTATCCCCCCCCCCCCCCTCGAACGTTGATCCCATATCTACAAATTCCTCTAAACGCCGATTAAGCGTTTAAATTGAAAAATGAATGCTCAACTAATAATAAAACAAAATGGTCCAGAATTGTTTGCATGGTATGCTGAATGAAACTCCGAAGAAATGAAAAAAGTGACACTATACACTCGAAGTGCTGATATATGAGTTATAAAATTATGTGAATAATTTGTAATCATTTGTAATTGGCTAAAGCAATCATGGAGTTGGTGAGAACTAAAGCTGTAGAATGCCTATCACCATCTTTCCCTTTCGGAAATTCTCGGGGTTATAAACTTGCAGCAATTTTAGAATTTTTCGAATAATGCAGGCTACGGCTAACATCGTTAGTTGGTTATAGGGACCCCATGGCTTTTCCATTTACTCCTCCCAGCTTTCTTCCGTTACCAAAAAAAAGTGTGCGATTGCCCCCAGTACATTAGACTAGATTATATTGAGATTTCATTATTCAGAATTCGCATCAATACTAACGCTCAATTCACCAAGCTAAGTAAGGCTACTCTCGTCAAGCTTTTAAAAACGCGGAAATATTTTCCTACTCTTTTCAAAGATTTGTTGGCCTTCATATTCACTCTGAAAATACCGTAAGCTATGCATGGTTTTTTATAATATCAACTTACGAAAGAAGAGTGCTATGGTTTAGGCCTCCATCTGAAAGTTCCCTCAGGTTCAAAGAATGCAAGGAAAATTTTATGAGGACAGTAAATAGTACAATGCTTGCCACCACAGTGAGTCTTCACGTGTGAAGACGTACTGAACCACTTATGTTTGCAATTTTTGGGTTAAGGCTAGCCGGGCTGACACATTTGCTCAACTAGAACTTCTTCGCCTTTGCTACACTTGCGATGCTTTTAAAAATGGATTAGGATCAGAGGTAATCTCAACGAAGTTGATGGCTATAATGAACGGAAAATTCTTTTTCAGAAAGCCGACATTTGTCATACATGCAATTCTCCATATAGAACGGATCTTTTTGCTTTCAACGACGGCATGATATGCAGAGAATGTGTAACTTCTAATGTTCTGCATCAGATTCGCCTTAATCGTTTTCCGCTGGAGATTCCGGTCAGTACCATGTATCTTTTTTTATTCCTGAAAATTTCCTTCAAGCTTGATGCTGCGCCCAGTTCGCCAGTCGATCTTCTCTACGCCATTTTGCCTATATCTGTAATGTCATTGCTTTCAAAGGTAGGGATTAATTTGAGAAGTTTGAAAGTTTTATATAAAAAATGATGTTTGTGGAAATTACAAGGATATTCAGGATGATTCTCAGTTCTTTGCAGATGTCTTATCGATATTTTAATGCCTTTGATTACCCGGATGCATATATGGTAGAATGCCCTCAGTGTTGCATGGATCTCAGCATAAATATTCCTAACAGTGAGTATTGGCAACTCATCGCTTCATCTCTTCTATCTCTTTCTCCCTCCTTCTTTCTCTCTCCTTCCCTTCAGCAATTTCCCATTCATCATAATTGGTATTACAGTGTACAGTACCTGTATATGCCCGAAATGTGAATGCAATTTCTGTTACCGATGTAAGTGGGAGCCACATTGGCCGCTCAGCTGTGAAGAGTTCCATGAATGGAACGAGAAATGGGCCAACAATGTTAGAAACGTTCCTCAAATTTCGCACAAAGCACTAACTGAAAACTGTTCCTAGACTTCTTTGAAAAATTTAAGTTGGATCCAGGCGAACGAGTACTCAAAGTAAAATGCTATTGCAACGATTTTCTATATGTATGTCTAAATTGACTGTAGTCTTGCAAATTGGTCATTTTCCATCTTTCAGGTTCCCGAACTCGGTCCACATTTCACCCGCTGCGGACGACTCTGCCATTACACGGTAGAAAGGTATGGAACGTACTATTGCGGCGGAACGTATGACCAAAGTGGTATTCTTCGTCCTTACGAGCTCGGAGCTTGGCCTTATACCCCCCGATTTCGTAAGGAAAACCATCCGAATTTTGAGAAATACGTTAGTATTTTTCCACTACACAAAGCTTCCCTTAAACTTTTTGATCTTAGGGAGATCCCGTTCAGCCAGAGTACTTAGAGCAGAAGAAACTGGTTAGCAAGTTGTATGCTGAGGTCGGTTGGAGTGGGGTTTTGTGGCTGAGTGAGAAGTAAAAGGTTCAGGTATGCGCTGAGATGCGAAGACTCAGATTTGACAAAACAAAACGGATAGAGTATGAAAATGCAGTTAAACGACTGTTTACTTTGAAAGCAGAGCAGCTGGAATTGATTGACCTGAGAAAAACAGTAAGAATTTCCAACGTTCTCTACGTCATTCCTCAAAAAAACTTTTTGAGGTTCTCTTTCTTGTCGAGCACTGCATGGCTTGGCTGTACCTTCATCGGCACCAAAAACTACATCACTTGCGCAAGGGTGTGCTACTACTGTTTCAAAGATTCATGAACTTTCAAACCAAAGTTTTGGATCCTCGGTAATTCTGAAAGTTTAGTTTCGGTTGACTACATGGTAATAGATGTGCTTGCTCAGGTATTATCAAAAGATACATGCTCAGGATGTGGAAGAAATGATGAGCACCGTAATAAAGTCCTTCAAAAATTATGCGATGGATGTTCGTTCGATAAACTGGCAGTGAAAACTCTTTTGAAAATTGTATGTAAATGTAATGTAAAAAATAAAAGATTACAAGATTTCGTGGACGTTCCCTTAGTGAAAATACGCTTTATCTATGTGTTCGTGAACTATTAGGTTGTTACATAAGTCTTGTTACACTTAACTTCTAACGGCGATAAGTCATACACCTCATAGTCTTTGCAGGACTCCAAGGTACCATTCGATAGAGCAAAGCAAGCTCTACAAGATGGTTTGCAAAAGTTCGCACCAGCTCCAACCCACCGTAAGTTTGCACCCAAAATCTGAGTCGTACTGAAATTCAAAAAATCGCGAAAAATTCATATCTTTGTTCAAACAAATCCTACGGATCTCCAACTTGCTCATAAAAATTGCCCACTATATCAAACACTCATATGTACCGTTGCTGTATTTTTTCCTTATCTGGAAATCGAGATAAAGAATTTTTTTTAGTTTTTACAAAAATGAAGCTATGCTGTTTCTATTCATGTAGCTGTATACTACAAGCTCTTAGAAGTATAACCGAAAATTTTCAGCTTTTCAGAAGCTCTGGTTTTTGAAAAATACCAAATTTAGTTTTTATCACTCGGGTGTTCAATGCTAAATTAGGTAATTTTCGAAAACTAGGGCTTCTGGGAAGCTGAAAATTTACGGTCATACTTCTAAGAGCTTGTAGTATACAGCTACATGAATATAAACAGCATAGCTTCGTTTTTGTAAAAACTAAAAAAAATTATTTTTCTCGATTTCTAGATAAGGAAAAAATACAGCAACGGTACATATGAGTGTTTGATATAGTGGGCAATTTTTATGAGCAAGTTGGAGATCCGTAGGATTTGTTTGAACAAAGATATGAATTTTTCGCGATTTTTTGAATTTCAGTACGACTCAGATTTTGGGTGCAAACTTATGATGGGTCGGAGCTGGTGCGAACTTTTGCAGACCATTTTGTAAAGCTTGCTTTGCTCTATCGAATGGTACCTTGGAGTCCTGCAAAGACAATAAGGTGTATGACTTATCGCCGTTAGAAGTTAAGTGTAACAAGACTTATGTAACAACCTAATACTTCAACGAAGTTTGGATTTTTCTTACTATCGAATGAAAAAGATTGTTACGAAAATTTAGTATCATTGGAAAGTTTTTTCTATCTTTTCATTTGGCATATAACGTTCTGTTCATTGTATTTTTGATCTACGTACATTGTTACAGTTAATTTATTGATATTGAGTGGCCGTTTCGAGAGGAGGCTTTGTTTGGCTTTTGCAGGAAGAAAAGAAACTAAGCGAATTTGCTTGTGATATCAAGCTTCAAGACTGATCATCCAAGACAATCAAGCGTTCAATATATTTTGAGGATTTCGAAAAATTCAAACAAAAATCTTGCTTTTTTCTTTTATCCTTTTTGCCAATAGTCGAACATTTTCCTCCCAAATGGGCCTTACAATCAACAAGTTTAGTGCGTGAACAGAGCGTTATATGCCAGATGAAAAGGGGAAATTTTTCCAAGTGATTTTAGAGTTTTATACTAATCACTTCAATTCCATAGGATGCTATAGAATATCCCAATGAGCACTCGATCAACTAATGGTTAGATTATGGCTTTTCCGGATTTGATGTACACTATCCCCTACTACTGAGGGTATAACCAAATTCAAATTGTTCCGTTCAAATCTGGAGAGATCTTTGATTGTGGGAAGGAAACAAGAGCAAAAATGGGTTTTTAGAAATTTTGAACACCCTGCTGGCGCTCAGCTACTATTTACGGTCTTCCGTGTATTCGAATGCAGCGTTTATGTGTGGAGGACTTTTGACTGTGAAACATTGGTCTATAAAAAACGCTTTTTTGAGTTTTATGTGTATTCTTTAGCGCTAGCAGTTTGGCGATTTTGGCCAGGGTTGATCAATGGTATGACTATGTACACTGCATACATTCATGCTGCAGAAGGTGGTTCATTACCCCTTGCGCGCCCCAAAAATGTCAACTGCCCTATTACAAGCAAAGTTATTTCCGGAAATGTAGGTCTTGCATTGTAGATACTCCATTTTTACCTCGAGATTCCTCAAAATTGGTCCTCCTTCAATTTTACAGCGATTTCCATGACCTGTTACAGTCCTAGCATTTCACTGTTGTCCTTTCGAGAGTTCCCGCTGCGACTAACGACATGTTTGACTACATTCCCCCCCAAATAAGTACCGGACCAAGTCCATTACTTTTTTCATATCTTTACGCGCCATAGCGTTTACTGCCATTGTCACTGAACTATGCCTTCAAATTATACGAAGCGATTATTGCTTGCGTCCGACGACCTGTGTTTTGGTCAACCTTGAAATAATGCGGTCGGCAGCGTTCATACAATCATACCAATCGTCTTTCACTTGCATCGTGCCTCACTGTTCATGCTATTTAATTTGCGCTAGCATTACGTAGACATATTCTCTGGTCTTTTGCTGTTTGAAAACATTGATTCACTTTCATATGAGCCGGTCTGCAAGTCTTGTACCAAAAAAAAAACTTCACGCAGTTAAGCACGGTAAAAAATGCTCTTACAAATTTTGCTAGAGGCGATCAAGTTAAGTGAATCTAATAGAAGTTGTTTCAAAGGTATACAAAAATTTGAAATGAGTCATACATTTGTCGCGTATACAGTATCTGGCATGCGTTAGTTCCGACATATAACAAAATTCAATCAGCTGATAGGAACGAAAAATAATAAAAAATAATACGTCTGTAAAAACACCAAGTCGCCAGTGGCGTACCGAGGGGGGGGGGGGGCGGGGGGGGGGGCGCGCGCCCCCCCCGAGAACGGGTCGCGAAATTTTTGAAAGTTACTTACATGGGTTATAAAAATGTGCAAGTGACTTGTTTTTACTTGTAAATAATTAAAATAATTTTTAAAATTTTTTAAAAATTCATTTTAGCCTTATAAAAAATTTTTTTTCGGGGGCGTGGCGTCAGCCACGCCCCCTTTTTCCAGATTTTAGGGGTCGGAGACCCGGAAAAATTTTGACAAGCACCCCAAAAATTTTTTCGGAGTGCGTGGCTAACGCCACGCACCTTCTTTAGAAAAAAATTTTTGTCGCCCCCCCCCCCGAGCCGAAATCCTGGGTACGCCACTGCAAGTCGCATATTATGAAGTGAGCTAAAACCAAATTTTATTGGATGTTTTGACATTTTCGACCAACTCTTAGAAAACTTAGTTCAATTTTTGATAGCCTTGTCGATACGTCATACCATTTATGCCCCAAATATTATCAGAGGAAGACATACTTTTTCAAAATTCTCATTTATCAAACTCTGAATTGAGCGAAAAATCGGGATTTTTTGGAGGAAATTTTGTGCAAGACTGGTGGATCGATCCAGATGTGTATTTTCTTGTTTATGCTTAAACTCACCAGCGATTTTACTGTTGATTCATTAGGAACTCAAAATGTGAGCCTGCAGACAATGCGCGACGACGGACGGTATCATTATCATAAATTCTCAGGGTAAAACATTTTGTAGCTTTACAAACTGTAAAAGTGTGTCCTTTTAAGTGCCATATCTATTCAAATCTAAAGGGGCAAAAAATAGGGAAAAGTCATTGGAAATAGCAGTAAAAGTTCGTCAATTAGCGCGCATGGTCTGCAGTACGCATAACAAAATACAAATGAGTCAAGAATAATTGCAGATGTAAAAGTCCAAAGGATAACAACAAGCACTCCTACTGACGACTCATTTGTGGATTGTAATATTTATTACTTGCTAATTTCTGCAGCTACATTGACCGCGAGCTTTTACGCCGTATTTTAGCCAGGTACCCGTTTTGTATGTTCATAATTTTTTATCTTTACCTTTATTATGATTAAACTCGAATATCTAAACTCTTGAAGAGCGGAGACTTTCAATTTTACTGACCTTTTCTGACTGGTGCTTGTGTCTTTCCTCAGAAACAGAACTAATGGATAAGGAGCTGCAGTTAACCCGTCCTCAACCGGATGCTATTTTTGAGCTCCCACATTTCGAATTAGCGATTGTCTTGCAATCGTAGTGTGGCTACGACGTCCGGTTCTATTCGTTCGCTTCACTTGTCTTGCCTGAAAATGCGAATGCTAATAGTATTCCGATTTAGCGTACCATCGCGCAAATCCAAAAATTTCCTTTCTCGAGAAATGTCTTACAGAGCGGAGATCTTTTATAACTTTTCAACACATCCGATTTTGCTTTTTTTAGAAGCACCAGTGTTATTACGAAGAAAGATTTGTTTTTCGATCATAATTCCTTTTGCCACCAAGTTTTTCTTCACCTCTTTTTCTCGTTACACCGAATTCAAAACTTCCCAATTTGACAAAAAGGAAAGCGCAGCCATTTTGCTGTTTTCTGCTTTTGCAGAGAAGTCTTTCAAGCATCATGTTCTCTCTTTGGCCTGTTCTGAGCTTTTTTCCGGTTTTCGTACTGTCACATCGTTTTCTCTAAGTAATTACCAGCACTTGGCCTATGCCAAGTTAAGAATTGGTTATGACAGCTAATTGGTTAAAAGGAATGGGGAAGGTTGTAGACGTGGTTTTCAATGATTGCTACCTTACCTTTTGCGAAGCATTCAGTTTCTTCGTTAATGCAAATAAGTTTTAGCATTTTCGATTCTCGAATTTTTTGGCTAACATTTCAAATGCATATCATTCTTCTTGACACAAAAATGAAAACAAAATAAAGATGTAGCTGCTCGGGATGTTCAAGTGATATACAAAGCAATTTCATACTATGTACACAATAAGACATTCACTTTCTTCGTTCTTTTTGGTGTAGCATCAACTTGAAAATAATGTGTAACGTTTTCTTACCAAATCAACTTCGCAGTCTTGGAGATTTTGCAGAACCAACTTTTACCTCTCATTGCGCTGAGTAACAAGATTTATCAGGCTATCAAATTTCCGGGTTAGACGCTATTTCTTCAAATTGATTATACACTGAGTTCAAGAACTTTTTTGTTTTGCGTCAGCCATGGTCAGCATTAGGTAGCTGAATGACGAAGGGTGAACAACGCAACACTTTTTGAGAAAACAATACTGAAATTGGGAGAATGATATCCAAATCAGAAATATAAGACTCAGTAATAAATTACCTAAAGTGTGAGGTTGATTATGTTCAAGGAAGCTATAACCAAACAAATGTTAAGGCGATTTGATGATATCTGTTAAGGCTTACCTTGATGACCTTGCAGATATTCTTTTCTATTGTATACGAGTGTTTACATTGCTTATGATTAAAACATACTTTGATTTACTTAAAGGGCTCTATATGCATATGATATAAGTTTGAAACTCCTTCCTTATACGTAAGCAGCAAAAAGCGCAAAATAAAATAAACCACAAACACTTGTCTAGGGCTCGATACTCGGTACGGGTGGCTTATAAGTAAGCTGGATATCGTTTTTGGGACAAAAAGCAAAGCGGGTTTCGTTTTTGTGGCCGAAAAGACATAAAATTCGCGACGTTTCCTTTTTTAGTCGACATTTCGTTTTTTGGAGATTTTTTAAATGATTATGGTCTAGGGTTAAAAGGGACTTCGTAAAAATTCACAAAAGTGAGGAGGATTTCGTTTTTTGCATTTTCATCCCGTGCCAAGCCTTGTGCTTGTCTTTCTCAAGCTTCGTATTCTCAGAAGAGGTATACTTCCAGCCCAACACTTTTTCAGCAATATATGATCCGAAAAGCATAGGATTCAAGCGCACTAGCGTGATGCGCATGCACTAATCACGCTTCGATGGCTTTATGCGCAGTGTCCAGAAATTTCAATAGCTAATGCCGTGGCGTGAATCGCACCTGTACGAATCGTATAGATTTCATAGTGGCGGAAGAATCTCGATCACCACGAGCCGCCATTGCTGCGCGCGCTCATTTTTTACGCCTCAAATTTCGAAGAATCGACTCGCTAATGCGTACGAATTGTGAATCATGTCCATTAGAACGTCTACCAGATAATACATTCACTCTTAGCATGAAAAGAACCCGAAAATCTGCGGCTAACCCTGAGACTAGTTTCTTTACTTTAAGGGCAACACTCTCAGTGTACTATGCGCGGTGTCAAACTACAGCTGCTCTTGTCTACGGGATTTCTTTCGCATGTGAGTGATTTTTATCTGATACGGTATTTCAAATTATATGGCAATTTATATGGAGGTCGTTTTGGCTATTGTCGAGGACAATGAGCTAGTCGGGCCGCCTAGCATACAATGCAAAGCCGGAGCGATTGAAATGCGTTTTAGGACGACAAAGTTATTCAATGGTAAGAGAATTGAAAATTCTATTTCCAAATTTGGATTAATGGAATTTGCTAACGGGCTCCACCTCTTTAAAATATCATTACTAGTGGTTCGAGTAATAAATTTATTTTTGAAAGTGACTGCGATTAAAACAGAAATCCCCGTAAAGAACTAGCTAACCACTTGCATACGCTCTAGATCACCCTATCACTTGCAGAAGAAAAGTAGCAAAGCATTTAAGACAATATCTGGAAAAAATAATAATTTCAATAAAAACAAGCTGCGCACATCATTGTTTAATTTTGACAGCTTTCCCTTCTTCCTCCAGAACCTTTACGGGACCTTTAATTTTGATGACTTTACGATGAATCTTTTTTACGATTTGTGAAAAGAGGGGTCAGATAAGAAAGAGGCGCTAAAAGCTTGTTTTTAAAAGTTACTTACATGAGTTATAAAATTGTGCAAGTAACATGTTTACACTTGTAGATGACTAAAATGATTTTTGAAATTTAAATCAAATCAGTCCTGTGGGAAATCTTTCGGGGCGTGGCTATCCCCACGCACATTTTTTGTGAGATTTGGGGTTATGGGCCCGGAAAAATCTTGGAAAGCATCTCCAATAAGTTTTCGGTATGCAGGGCTACTGCCACGCACCTTCATTCGGAAAAAATTCTTGCCCCCCCCCCCCGGACGGAAATCCTGGAACTGCGACTGATAGTCAGGGAGCAACAAAATGCTTGAATCGTACTCCTTTGTATGCTTTGATGTTTTTTCAATATTGTTAAGCATTTCCGAAGCTTGTGCCTTGTTGGTTTTGGTTATATGATAATATAATAGCATTCAACAGCTCTCGTCCTTCTACCTAGCATACGCTGTTCTTTGAAATTTAGGCAAAGTCTACGTGAAGGGCAATTATAATCGCCCTGAATGTAAGGTGGATTACAGTGCGGAAGAAAATGGAGGTGTACGAGATGGTGAAATACGCATAGCACATGGTTCGTGCAATATGGATCGACAGAGAACGGTAGTACAATAAATTCAATAATTTTTTTTGCTCGAATTACTCAGAATTCCAGCTATCGCCTTATGGTGTAATGTTCTCCATCGTTTTTGTAATCAGTTTTCATCCGGTGAGTTCTGAACGTTGATTTAGATTGTTATTTGGTACAAAATTGTACTTTCAAAGCGTAGTCGAGAGGAATGTTTGTTGAATAATTCCCTGAAGGCCGCACAAAGGTCATGTTTGCAAAGAGAGAGATTTTGTAGAGATTAACCCTTATCCACATAGTACAAAACCAATTACCGTCATTTCAACCTGTATGACATTATGACTATTGCCGAGACTTATTGTTTAGTTCCAAAAAAGGAAAGCGTGATGACTTCTCGACTAAAAGTTCACTATTTTTACTAAAATTCAGTGCAATCATTTGTAAGACTACTTTAAACGTCAGAACAATACCAAAGTATACCATTCTAATTTTTGCGCTGAGATTACCAGCCTAAACCAATATCGAATGAAGTAAGTCCAGCCGTCATTTAACAGTATTCTTCATACAAAAAGTACCATCTGAAAATGTGGCTCACTCCGCCCCAGTGGTTAACCCCGCCCACTTCTCGAAATTTAGAAGGACAAGGCGCTCGAACTGTCGATCTACTATTTTGTGGGCGAGCGAACTACGCAGAACTCGTATAGATTTCTTGACTGCAAAAGCCGCTAATTTTTTCAACCCGGCAAAGATCTTAAATCTAAAGTCTAACTTCAGTCCGTCATAGAAAATATCAAGACGAGAGCCGAAAGTTTGCATAAACATTCAAAGGCCCATTTCCAGCTGTTCATCACAAAGTACGACAAGGTCTATAGCATACGGTGTATGTACCACGAAGTTACGCGAACTGTAGCAACAAGGCTTGATGTAAGGTGGGCTTTTAATAATTTATTTTACTGAATTCATGAGTATAATTGTCTAATTTGTTACAGTATGATACCCTCAGAAGCGATGAGATACGATGCTCCTATACCTACATGTTCTTATACCATACGGAAGGATAATCTGGATGGACCTGTTTTGTCCTATGCAAGGGTAGGAGATCAAGTGGTTCACAGGTGGAATTGTGATTCGGGTGAGTGTGCAAAGAAAGTTTCCAAAAAAAGACTCGGACTGGATTCGAAGTGTTGCTGAACCAGTTTTTCCATTTAGATGCATTTGGTATTCTCGTCCATAGTTGCACTGTCGAAGATGGCCAGGGCGAGAAAAGATTTATTATTGACGAAAGCGGGTAAGTTGTGACATCTAAGCATCTAAGAAAAATTTCAAGGAAATTTTAGATGCCATACTGATCGTCAGCTCATCGGTGATCCAACATATGCTGAAGCACTGAATATGGCTTATCGTGAATCTTATGTTTTCAAATTTGCCGACAGAAGCGCGCTGCGGTTCAAATGTGGAATACGCCTTTGCCAGAAAAACGATGGTGGTTGTGAAGGTATTACGGTAAGTTTGCAGAATCTCAAGGTACCCTTTCATTCAGTGGCTTGGCGGCTGAAAGGCGGGGTATATTGACCTAATTGAGGTTAAGTAATGATCATAGAGCACGCGCGCGGGAAAGACGCAGACTGCGTAGCGGGCGCGAGCGGCCTTAACTAGATTCATAAAGCCCCGCCTTCCAGCTGCCAATCTCGTTGAATCAAAAGGGGGGGGGGGGTAGAGGAACGAGCATCTCAGTAGCCAGGCACCGCCTCCGCGGGCTGCTGGTCTTTTCGTCCTACTGTTGTGCATCGCGCTGAGACCAGGAGACCAGTAGTCCGCGGAGGCGTTACCTAATTTGAGATGTTCGCTCCTCCACTCATCAAAGGGTAACTCCTGCAAAAAAATATTTTAGCCTCCTACATGTATCAATCACACGCGCCTTCGGGATTTTGAATTCAACAATAATATGATTGATGAAAAGGTTTGTGGCTCTCAATCTCATCGCCAATGTTAAAGAGAACATTTAAGAATTCGAGGCTCCGTCGCGCGACAACGCCTTTCCCAGAAAAAGAAGTGGATTTGTTGTCGCAAAGGCTTTACGTCCTTGATCATGGCGGAGAAGATTTAGCGCAACTAAAGCAATACGAAGGTCGGCATAGAAATTATGAAATTCTTGAATTTTGAGTTGAATTTGTGTGACCTCAGTCTGGTCCACGAGAATCAGACTTATCGCCATTGGAAAAAACCCTTTTTGTAGACGACAGATATTCCAGGAAGGCATATAAAAACTCCGGATAGGAATCCACTTGTTTCACCACCTAGAACGATATTTCTTGGATTTGAATCTTACAATCCTCTAAAGAAATATCTGCCTCAACTGTCAGCTAAATGAGTTCGCATGAATGAATTGATACTTTTCAGCTGAAGCTGGAAGTTCTCAGACTGTGTGCCTTGGCCTTCACAGTTCCGCATGGACGACCTACATCATCGCTACCGGTTTCATTATATCGGTAACCTTTGCACTTGTGCAAGGGCAAAAAACAGGCAAGTTTCCCTTTTAACGTAAAAACGCTGATGTAAATTTGCCTTGTGAGTTTGTTTGAATTGGCAGAAGTCCAGCAAAACTTTCGCTTAGCGGAGGCATCACCAATTCTTTCGCTGAGCTCAGTTGGCGGTAAGGGTTCGGCGAGGGTAGCTTCAAGGTAACTTATGAACAGGTCACATTTCGCAAATAATTCTTCGTTCAAAAAGTTTTTTTTGCTCTGCGGCGTGCTATTAAAATATTCAATTCTGTTTTATCCTTCTCACTGGTAACGACCCCTAACACAGTTTTTTATACTAAACTCGACAGAGTTTTATGCTAGTCTGCGTTTATGTTTTGAGAAAAGTTCTTATAGTGAGTTAGTGCGCTTATTGCGCTTGATGAGAAGGTTTTTATTGAACGTCTAATGACCTATCGCCACCAGCCTCGCAATTCACTGCATGCATCGCATTTGGACTTGAAATATAATATGTATTGGCGTTATGATCCCACTACGGTGAGGACAACACGCGCAAAAGCAAACGCATTGCCGAGAATGCCGACAACTTGCTTGCGACTTGCGCCTAAGAAGTGGCCGAATCCATACAAGCGGGTCCACTGCGCATGAAACAGATCCACGTGTCTCTTGAACCACAATACTGGGCCAGATTTACTTTTCCTATAATGAAAAAGTTTCCATTTAGCAGCCGTCCTAACAAGCTTGGATGCAACATGGGGCCAACACTCTGAATCAGCTTAGTGAACGATCAATAGAAAGAACACGAAGTACAGCGTGAATCTCTTTCATTACCGGTACTATCTCAAGGAAATGTGTTTTCTTGCACTCGTCATTTTACGTTTTAACTTTCGGCTTACATTAGAGAAGATGCGTGTTTTGCGCTTGTGAAACCAAATAGATTCCTTACATTATGTGCATGAGCTGTAATTTGATAAATTATTGAACAGCGAATAAATTACAAATCAAATTTTTTCAACGAAGACACATATCGTCGAGTCATTCGTAACTTAATATGTGAGCTTGCACACAAAGCGTTTCAACGGACGGCATCCTTAACGCTAACTTCTCGATTAAATCTTTTCTAGCGTAATAAAGTGTAAAAGTGTATACTACTGACTAATTAATGGTGAAATCGCTGAAATGAGGAGATTTTAATCTTTTAAGTTCGCCAAATAGCGCGCATGGTGTGCAGTACGCATATTAAGTTACAAATGACTCGAGGATATTGCTAGCGAAACCATTAGGCTATTGCTATGAGTGGTTTCAGTCCACAGCGTAAGGTTTTTCATTCACTTCTACGCCGCTTTTGCAGCAGTTTTTACACATATATAGACCCTTTTTCAAGTTAGTCTTGAAATCGCAAGTCCGTTCCGGCAGCTGTCCGCGTACGCTTGAAAGAACATTTGGCATGCAAGAGACAAGAGATTGTAGTAACCCCATTAGATAAATGTAGGAGTAACCCGCAAAGACTCCAGAAATGAGTAACAAGAATGGGTGCCTGTCCATCGCTGAGGTTTCTGCCGTATATGCCACTGTATGACTTCTAGATAGTATATATAGCGACTTAATGCGCATTTTACTGTATCACTCATTTGTCCGTCAACTTGTCACATCCAGGCTTGCTTACATCTTAAATAGCGGTGCTGCAAGGGTGAGTATAACTGTCTTGAAATTTTTGCGACCCGAAGCTGAAATGAAGTCGAAACTGGCTGAGTTAGAAAAGATATGGGGTGATCTGTATCGGGATGATGCCTTGAGTCGTTTTCAAGCCTCTGAGGACGACGAAAACGTCAAAACGTAAAGAGATTACAATAAATCTGCCACCGTAACATGTAACTACATAATTGAAAAAGTGGTTGCATGACTCTAACATACGTCTCGGTAGATTACCCACGATTTTTCTCTGTTCCTGGCCGTTGAAACTCAACATGGAAGTCCAACAGCGTAAGAAGTTTGGAAAAGCATTTACTTCGACTTTCCGGAAGAATTCTTCAGTACAGTTGGGAAAAAATTTGATGCAAAAACATACCCGCAATTTCTGCGTCGGAAAGTATGGGCCTTTGTATCGCTCTAATACAGACTAGATCATTGATGTCATCAGGCGTGTGCCAAACTGAGGCGTGTGCTGCAGACTGAATAATCTTTCCTCCGCGGCAAAACACGGAATCTGCGCATTGACCTTTTTTACAAGAAACAGAGCTAAGCAATTGCCTTTAACAATTGAGAATAACGATTGAGAAAAATTCACGCTGAATCCGAGTTTATTGATGGAGGCTTGTCTTTGACAAGTCAGGAGTGGTAGTAATTTGGTCGAAACCATCATGTTAACTGTGTTTTCATGACACCAGCTAACCAGCAGCTTCACATCATTTTCCCAACGAAACCACGAATTAACCAATAGGAAACCTCGAAATGCTATCTTGCAAAGCAAAGTCATTGGAGAAGATCGAAACTCCAACCATTCTCATGCTTGTCGGCAATCATTGCACTTTACCAAATTTGCAGTCCGCTCTCCAGCCTTGCACCTTCCTATAACCTTATCTAAGCTGTAAACAAGTAAGCTTTCTCATAGTAAGTTGCAAAATGATCTCCCTCACTCTTCTTAACTTGCAAAACCAACACATCATTGTTTGAAACGAAAAAGTGGTCGGGGGTACTTTTTCATTTTAAACTATGATGTGGTGGTTTCACGTCTGCGTCTCATGAAATGAAGTGCTGTTTTCATTACTCTATCTGATAAGGGAACAATGGTGTTAACCTGCTGTTTAACTCATAGTTTGGTTTAGAATGAAACAAGCATGAAACAGTTATGGTTTTCTGCTAGTTACTTGCTTGTTTCATGATTTTGTATGACCGATTGAACTGAGTGGCCGTGAAAAGATGATCATGCTTACCACGATGTAACCATGATGGAACTATCACATCATTTGTTGGTTTCGACCAAATTACTACCACTCCAGGTATTTTGATTTTCGATTCGAGTGTTTGTAAATAGTGGTTGAGGATGTTTCATCATTGAAGCTATCAACTATCTTCGCTTTAAGGACACCGCTTTCGTCGCAGATTAGCCCCTATATGAACCTCGCCCACATTATGAACAACTAATGAAAATAAATATCACAGTATAAGTCAGCAGGAAACGTCTCATTTTCAGCATCATATAGCAAGAGGATGGCCAGACTTTGTAAGTGCTGATGACATGCTTTATCTAAAACTAAGCAATGGGAATAAGTGCATGAAGTGCCACTTTTCCGTTATCTCACCACAGTTACGGACGGTCATTGGACCTACAACTGAGGTCGAGGCCTTTTCTCTTCCCCGCTAACAGCTGTGAACAGGGAATAGTCTTCGAAGTTCAATTTCAAGTCAAAGGTGATTTCATGTAAATCTGGCACACTTATGCCATGTTGCGCAGTCTTCTCATACAAGCTTATCTCTACGACCAACATTTGCAGTTTCTGCAACCATATAAACATGGTGCTTCGTGACAATATTTTTTAGATTTCTGCGATTGTACTCGTCCGAATTTGGAGCCATATTATGCGTATAAGAATCGCCTCACTAAGTTGGACTTTGCTGTATGCAAAACTAGCTGGCTTAGGCTGCGTTCATACTGATTCCCTTGTTCTGGAACTGTTCCCGCACAGTTCTCCCGCACTGTGCGGGAACTGTGCGGGAACTGTGCGGGAACAGTTCCAGAACAAGGGAATCAGTATGAACGCAGCCTTACTTGGCTCCTTCCGGCCCTGTCAAAACACTATGACAAAGTCTTATCCCTTACCCTGTACAACTTTTCCCTGTGACCACTTCTACACTTCATTTCCTGTTCCCTATGTTGTTATTGAAATTAGCATGCCCACTTACCCCCCCCCCCCCCGTGCCAACTCCCAGCCCTTCAGCTCAAAATTTGAAAAAATCGATAAAATCGATAAAAGTAATAGGTAATACCAGAAACTAATATCGTATTCGGAGTCGCCATGCTCACTTACCCCCCTGTGCCAACTCCCAGCCCTGTAGCTCAAACTTTGTAAAAAATCGATGAAAAACGATAAAATCGATATCGATCGATAACGAAAAGTAACCTACGACATCCGCCCCGCCAGAAGTGTATGTGTGCCAAGTTTGGTCCGGATCGGTTCAGAAATAAAACTTTCTATTCGGAACATACGCGCATACAGACATACAGACATACAAACAGACATTCAGCTTCATATATAAGATTACAGTGATAATGAGATTGCTGCTTTCCGTCGTTATAAGAAGTCAAACAGTCGAAGGGATAACTTGCTACAAATCGACTGAATCCGGTAGAATTGAAGAAAAGAGTGAAAAGGTGACTTTATTTACTTCAATTTAGAGAACTTAACAATGTTGCTCAGCAAAAATAAAATTCGTGCATAAACAATAAATCCTCATCAAGACAAGGGAGATGTCAATTATCTCATCGCCTCGCATGCAACTGTACGTGCAGAATTTACCGCTGCTAGCGTTGTTCCCGCTGGTACCGCGCTCCGGTGTTAATGTTAAGGCCTTGGCCATGGGTTATGCTTTACGCAGTTTCAGTAGCTACACGATCTGGCAATTTGCCAAATGTTTTACTTTTTATTTTTTTCATTTTATATTTTATACTCAAGATGTGCCAACATGAAAATCAGAAAAAAAATAAACAAAAAGCCAAACACTAACAATGACCACAACCCATACCAATTCAGAAGTTACGACGGAGCAGTCCAAGAGAAGATTAGATGCAGTGTAGAAACATCCCAGGCAATACTTTCTGTGTTAGAACATCTAGGGTGCTAGCAAATAAGTTTGCAGTTCATAAATAGCACTAATCCACTTGAGTTCCAATCTTGCTGCCTATGGAAACTTTCACTTATCTCATTTGAGTGCCAACGAGCCTACGGGCGGAAGCTAGCTGGCGAAATTCCTATGACAAAAAAGGTTTTTAGAGGTCCGCAAGATATCTTTAAATATAAAGATATACTCGGTGACGATGATCTCCGAACAGGGAGTACGACTTTGTTTAGGAGAAAAAATGGGGATTACTCAAAGTTTAATACTGGTGAGGTTGGGTATTTGGAGGCTGCGATGAAGCTCCGTGGAAAATATTATGAACTAGATGGCAAACCCGGCTCCGCCCGGGGCCAAACTTTGCACACATACACTTCGGGGCAGGGAGCGTGTCATAGTCCACTTTTCGTTATCGATCCATGTCGATTTCACCGATTTTTTGCAAAATTTGAGCTACGGGGTTGGGATTTTGCACAGGGGGGTAATCGAACATGCTGATCACCCCCGTGGGGATGATCAGCATGTTCGATTACCCCCCTGTGCAAAATCCCAGCCCCGTAGCTCAAATTTTGCAAAAAATCGGTGAAATCGACATCGATCGATAACGAAAAGTGGACTATGACACGCTCCTGCCCCGAAGTATATGTGTGCCAAGTTTGGTCCCGATCGGTTCAGAAATAAAAATTTCTATTCCGCACATACGTACAGACATACATACAGACAGACATACATACAGACAGACATTCAGCTTTATATATAAGATTGACCATCTGTTAGTAAATGCAAAGTATAGGCTAGTAACAGTGCGGAAGTATTTGAATAAGATGAACGATCCTCTTGAGTAGAAGCTGGCTTAGATGTCTTAAAATCAACACTAGCGGAACGCAAATGCATAGTCTGTAAATCTTTCGTATACTTGTAAAATGCTCTATCCTCTTCACATTAGCATGTGCACACGATTATGGACAATTAGAGTATAGCCAAATCGCGCCGCGACTGATCGCGTAAAGTATGGCCTGAAATAACCAACCACTGGATATCATTCTGCCGTATCCGTTGGATGGGTGATTGCTCCTTCATTTAACCCTAAACTGATGTAAAGATTGCATAAATTGAAATGAAACTGCAAGGCTAATTGTAGTAGAACGCGTTAAATCGTTGACGATTTATTAGAAAAACACAAGAGTTCCCCCTCTGCCTATCGGCGTACATGCCGAGGGCTCACTAGGAATAGCTCGAGAGCAACGCACACATATATCAAAGTGCGGCGGGTACGCCGCAACCACAGAGACCATATCGACTTAGCCTATAGTGAGCGAGCAAGTTCCAATATAAGGGACGGCTCTACAACACCAATTTTTAGATTGTTCAACAATACCGTCGGTAACAGCGGTAGCAACGGAAAATACCCAAATAGTTGGGTTTTGGCCATTCCTCACGCGATTTCAGTCGCGAATCGATTCGGCAATGCTCCAATTGCCTATAATTGATCGTGAGCACATTCCGAATACGTATAAAATAGCGCATTTTATCAGCCTACAAAAGCTGCACAGATTATGCATTTGCCTGGCAGTGTTGGATCAGACGACATCTGGCATTGCCAAATCTCATGGCGACTGAAATTGCGCGAGGTATGACCAAGGCATTAGGGTCGGGTCAGACTGCGCCGTGCACGCAGCGCAAGCACAGCATAAAGATATGGAATGCGCGGTCTGGTCAATCTTTACGTTTTCGCGAACAACTAAATGAGCGTTCACGGAATCAGCGCTTTTGAGAGGCTAGGGTACTGTCACTTTCTCCTAAATGCCCAAAATGTTACAAGGGAAGGGCAGTTTAGGGGCCGCATGCATTAACATCCTCGCCTTGGATAATCGTAGCATAGAGAAAAGCTTCATATCCTGCAGCTCCAAATATCTGATTTTGTTGCCTGTCCATTCATAGCTATTCCCTTCACTATAAACCAGTGGTGGTCCCAGGATTTCCGTTCGGGGGGGGGCAAAAATTTCAAAAAAGCACTCTGAAAATTTTTTAGGTGTGCTTTCCAAAATTTTTTGCGGGTCCCCAACCCCTAAAATCTGGAAAAAGAAGGCGTGGCGTCAGCCACGTCCCGGAAAAAAATTTTTGAGGCTAATTTGAATTTTTGAAAAATTTTAAAGTATCTTGATTGTTTACAAGAATAAACAAGTCACTTGCACATTTTTATAACCCACGTAAGTAAATTTCAAAAATTTCGCGACCCCGCGACCCATTCTCGTGGGTGGGGAAGGGGGGGGGAGGGGTAGGAAGGCGCCCCCTCTCCTCCTCCCCCCCCCCTCTCGGTCCGCCACTGCTATATACATATCGAAACGTTGTTGAGCTGCACCCCCTGCTTTTCGCATTATCCCTTGGTAATCCCTACGACCAATCGTCTTACCTTCTTTTTTCTCTAGACTTATTGAAAAGTCCTTTTGTAAAGTAACTCAACATGCCAAATGCTGTTACAAGTCCATTGCATTCCGATCATTTTGCCAATCGGTTATGATAGTTATTCGGCGCGACTAGATGCTGGGCATTTTCCCCCAGGCATACTTCCTTCACTGAAATCGTCGCTATCTTCCCGAATCTCAGCGATATCGCGTCGATGACTTCAAACGAGTGACCGACCTAATCGCTGGATTAGACTTCTTTTGTGAGACCGATGCTCTTGTATCCACTTTTGGCACTATCCGTGATCCAAAGCTTCAAGTCGCGATTAGCTCAGATTCGCTCTAGGAGATTGTTCGATCCGCTGGGGTGAATATCATGGTTACCTTGTGCGGGCGCCATTATCTGGGGCTGCCGTGGGTATACGGTAGAGGGTCAAACTACGAATTCGCTCTAAATTTGTTGTGGGGTAGCGGGTCTTTGGCGCGCTGAACATGACTGTCATGATGATTACTCAGAAAAGCAACATTTTCTTGTAATCTGTGCCAACACAACAACAATTACCATTTTTTCGTGGGCCAGATTAGTGCAAAAAGATTTAGTAAAAACTTCATCATGCGGAATGAACACAAAATTCGTGATCAGAACGTCAAATGACTTCACTGCGCCAAAGATTCAAGCAATTCCATGACTTTGACACCTACCATATACTCACCGCAACTCCGCGTGTATTCCCAAAACGCGACGTGAGTATGACTTTTGTGATCAACATGTTGAATAACTTCTCTAGACGGAAATCCCGCCAAATCTATGGTTTTGCCCCTTTATGACCCTAGAAAATGTCGTTTTGCAAGCACAATGATTATTATATTTGGCATTAGTGGTTCGAACAACCCCTTTGAAAAGTTTGAGCAAAACCCGCGACTTTGAAACAGTGAGGCCCAGATACTGGAATAGAGCCAAATTCGGATGTGAATTTGCGGTGGGAATTGATCCCGGACTATAAAATAAAAATACAAATAAACTTTCAAGCAGAATGTAACACGAATACTTATAAGTAGTTTGAGAAGGTTTATTATGTGCTCAAGTGGGAGGATGCATGAATCGCCGCAGAAGTATGCCCATGAACAAGCAACGATTTAGTGGTCGCCGCGATTTCGTTGCTATTTGCAGCAAATTGCGACGACCAGAAATCGCCATGATGAAGTTTCGTGATGTATACCCGGCTTTTTGAGCCTTATGACTCACCAGAATCGCCAGTGCAGGCAAATTGTGTTTGCATTCTCCTCGACTAAACGAAAGCCTTAATTGGCTCCAGGGCCCAACTACAGTTGCTAAATTGCCTGGAAAACTTTAAAAAGCTTCCTCTTGTAGTAGTGTACTATGCTTACCAATAAACGTCATGTTTTCAATTTCAAAAGCTATTCACTGACTATGTCTAATTTAGGGTACGGCTTGCATTATGTATCATAATTACGGAATGTTAGGCTGTAGAAAGTCGGAAACTTATTATGATATTTGGAAAAGTCATCTGATGGTGGGTTTATGTTGAAGGGGATGCATGCTTTTCACAGGCATTATAAGAGAAACATTTTTAGACTTTGCCTATATGCGGTGTTTTCGTAAATCATCCAACTTACCTTGCAGCATGTTTATGCAATGAAGATTCCTGCAATACGCCAGAGAAAATGCAGGTTGTTTCAGTCTCGAATTTTTCTTGAAGAATCACGTCAATCATTTACAATCAAATACTGTTTGCGCGAGTCTTTATTTGTCTAGATACTCTAAAGAGTTGCTATCTATTTTGAACGCCAGCGGCAATCATTTGGAATGTTTTCTGTTAAAGGCTGGTTAGAAAAAGGATAGCAAACTCCTTAGTTCGGTATTTATTTGAAGGAACGATGAACGCATTTACTCTCTACAGTTTCTAATCATGTTAGCTCCCCTATTTTTCCTCAAAATGCCTTTCTTATTAATCATGCAGCAAACATCTCACAGAGTAACTAAAAAGCTTAAAAATCCTAGACAAGCATCTGACGAGGGCTGGTTGCTATATTGTCTGATGAAGACTCATACAAAAGTCGGAAATAAGCGCTAATTTTCCATCTTCAGTGCCCTTTTCTATATTCGCCATGGAATTTCGCCATGCCATAAAATTCGGCGTCTTTGATACCTTTTGCGGGCATGCACCAAGCCCATCCTGGTTCGTAGTCACTGACGTCATTCAAATGGGTGCGAGCCTTCACAGTCACTTTGAGAGGGCAGCCGATTACAGTCAGTTCTTTTATCCTTCCAGACTACCCTTGTGCCGATTTATGGTCAGAGGACAGAGGGTTTCGTAGGCTCTGGAATGGCATCGAACACTAGTCTGGTCTAAGACCACTAGACTGGTCATAGCGGCGCCTCATAGCGCCCACTAGCTGCGCCATTCGTTCTCGAGTAGCATCATAATACCAGTGAATCTATTATGATCCGCAATCGTCACCTACCATTTACTACTATACAAACTAGTTTGATTATATGAACCAAAATTCCTGTAATTTGCGCATGGGACTGCTCTGCACCCTCTCAGCAATAATTTACGTAGTCTTCTCGTCAACAGTAAGTCATTCGTGATCATAGGCGTAACTAGAGAAATGTGCCTTTCCTTTTGAAACTGTGAACAAAGATATTAAATAGTCATTTGATGTTAAATAAAGTTAACCTTACTTGAGAAAACGATACAACGAGAGCGGAATCAAAAGAGCAAGATAAGATGAATTTTACAAAATTAACGACCCAGTACAATGGATTATAAGCATTTTTATGAATGCAAGTAGATCTCTAAATTGATTCTAGAAATAGATAGTTGAAGATATAATTGAACGCACGAAATCGACCTGGCTAAACGCCCGCGAGCGTGTCTTTTGCGGGCTACCATTGGCATTTGCGCGTACGAGCCATCATAGCGCCAATACTCGGCACGCCAAGCAGGCACGCTCGCGTGAGTTCAGTCTACAGCGACCCGCGCGATTTCGTGCAGTTCGACTTTAGTTTAGCAGTCGACAATTCCTTCCTTATCACGCCATAGAGATCTAAATGAAAAGGCGACAACCGAAGAAAGTAGTCATAATAGTTATATTCAATAGCTTTGCTCCTATTATTATATCAGGTTGACACGAAAATTCTTGCGTAATTCAAACAAAATTCAATAACTTTTCAAAGACTAAACCTAAATTCACAATCTTGTATGCCGATAATATTAGAAGTCCCACGCTCCATGATGGAAGTTCAAGCACAACATTTCACGAGCTAGCCATCGAGAACGAAGCTCTCAAGTGTGGGGCTTCAAATTTTGCGATTTTGAGTTTGGTGGCAGAAAATCGCAGAGGGCCGCTAGCTAGCCGAAAAAAATCTGTAGAATTTACTTACACAGCAAAAGTCCATACATTATTTTAGCAGGCTTTGATCTCGCATGGAAATGCGAAAACAAAAAATTTGTGGAATTTGTCATTTTACAGGATAAATCCCCTTATCACTCTAATTTTTCCACAGAAACACCGTCTGCAGCCAGAAATCAGACATAGTGCCTATTTAGAGCCTTGCGACGTTTTCGTGAAAAAGTGTTTTCGCCGCAAAGCTCCGGACATTAGGGATTTTTCCGCAAAATGACATACTTTACGAATTTTTTGTTTTTGCTTCACCGTACAAGATCAAAGCCTTCCAAAGTAACATATGGACTTTTGTTGTGTAAGTAAATTCTACAGATTTTTTTCGGCTAGCTAGCGGCACTCTGCGATTTTCTGGCTCCAAACTCAAAATCGCAAAATTTGAAGCCCCATATTCGAGAGCTTCGTTCTTAATGTCCAGCTCACGGAATCTCATGTTAAACATCCATCATGAAGCGTAAGGCTTCTAATATTTTTTGCATACAAGATTGTTAATTTAGGTTCAGTTGAAAAGTTATTGAATTTTGTTTGAATTACGCAAGAACTTTCGTGCCAACCTAATATTTTGACTGGATCCTTCTGTGTTAGCCAGGGCCCGGCACGCGTTGGTATAGAGCGTTTTCGGAAAAGAAGTTCCCATGATTCCCGAAAATTTACGAAGTCCTTCTTAGCGTAAAAATCAGTAGGAAACTTATGCAATCAAAAATAACAATAAAAAAGTGAAAAAGGCTCATTTTGAGGTATCCAGTATAACAAGAAAGCAAAAAAAACATGAGTTGATCAAAGGCTCTGTCATTGAATGTGGTACCATTTCAATGCTCAGAATGTCGAAAACCTCCTAGGCTAACCAGATCTGTGGCCCCAACAAACTGGTGATGCATTTTTCACAACATAGTTCAAAGGATATTACATGTATTGTATTATCATTCTTCCTTTTTTCTCCCACCCCGTTCCATATTTAATCGCCTATTTGTATTTCATTTTTGAGGTGTTGCATCGTTTACGATGTATTAGGTTGGTGCAAAAGTTTTGTCAGTTTTTTCAATCCATCGGCAAACACGCTAGAATGAAGATAAACAAACATTCCAAGATGTATACAATGCAAAATTTCTTCCTCTTTCCAGCTTCTGAACTCCCATTATGTTTCGTTGCGACAGTGACGAGATATTTGCTGGAAATTGCAACCATTCGTTTTTACCATGCCCAATTTTCGCTAATTTTCAAAATTTTTGTATGAGACTTTCGGAGGAGCCCTAATAACCAGCAGATAGGGCAAGCCTTTTGCCAACTGATGCAATTTTTTGTAGCCCTACGGCTTGTCATTTAGAATTTCTACGATTCATTTTTTGAAGTGACCAAATTTTACATTCAGCCTATTTTAACCTCGTAGAACATAAAATGTTAAACGCTTCAGTCACTATTCGATGCAAATTTCCTTCCTCTTTCTAACACTTGTCCTTTTTCGCCGAGACAGGCGAAATTTGTGGAAAAAATCGCAGTATTTCTCATTTTCAGGAGTGCGCACTGACGTAACCTATGTTCCAAAATTTACATAATTTGAAGCGAAAATCGCTTATTTACTTTGTAATGGTCGCGGAGTCATAATCGAGTGTTGAAACCTCAGTATTCTGTAGGTTTTGCGGTGTTGTGCAATAACAAGTTATGCGATTTTTCCAAAACACAACACTTTTAGAAAGTTATTTAACAAAAATCTGAAAAAGCAGATAAAAAAAATTGCGTAAGTTGGCAAAAGGCTTGCCCTTTCTGGCGGTTATTAAAACCCCTCCGAAAGTCTCATACAAAATTTTTGGAAATTAGTGAAAATTGGGCATGGTAAAAACGAATGGTTGCAATTTCCAGCATATATCTCATCATTCTCGCAAGCAACACAATGTGAGTTTAGCTGCTGTAAAGAGGAATAAATTCTGCTTCGGATACATTTTGAACTGTTTATTTATCTTCATTCTAGCGTGGTTGCCGATAGAGTGAAAAAACTGACAACATTTTTGCACCAACCTAATATTTAATAAATAAATAAATAAATAAATTGGAGCGCGATATATGTCAGCGCTTAGATTTACACTACTTTTGGCTCAAAAAAAGAGGAGAGGCAATGGTTTGATTCGCTCCCTTTACTATATGATAGATTTTTGACCGGTCTAATCGTCCAAACCAAAAAGGTCCAAACTTTAGTGAACTTTCCGATTATGCTCCGAACCAACCAGTTGGTTTGGTATTGGTCTACCAACAATTTTGGGAACGGATAATAGGACACATAAGTTTCTGGAGCTTTTTACATAACCTAATTTGGAGTAATATTGTATACACATAGCCCAAATTTGGAGCCATGTGATCGTTTGTGCGCTTAAACAAGTCATTTGTTTGTCTGAGTCTTGTTTGAAATTCGCGCGCTTGCGAAAAAACACGTTCAGCTCTTAAAACCTGACAAGTTCTTCGTTTTTTCGGCACTTCCTCCAGAAAATTATAAAAACGATATCCCCGTTGCTTCTAACTCAAAAAACGAAGTTCAGTTTGACCCCAGACCATCTGTGCCGGGCCCTGGTGTTAGCGCTTGGTGGGTAAAAATAGTTAACATTGGGCGTGTATTACTCAAACGAGATTCGGCTATGTACTAAAGTTAAAGTTCTCATAGATTGTGCGTGAAATTGCTCTGTATTTTCTCAAGGAAATCATTTGATTTACTCAAATCAGAACTGTAACTGACTCGCTTCCAAGCATAAGTTCTATGAAAGTCATATATGCCTTCACAAGCGCCTCGCTCTTGTCGTACGAAGTGCCCTAAACAAGTTACAAACAATCCTTATCGCCTTGTCAGCAATGAGTCTATACTGCTCATCAAACATGAGCTAACTTCTAAAAAGGGTTAAAGTTTTGTTTCGTATGTATTTACATCACAGTTCAAGTTTATTCGTGAATACGTCATCTGAAATAACTTTTTCAGAGCGTCCTTGATCAGTCATTGGTTGAATCGAAAGTTTTACAAAACATGAAAAGTTATGAGCCTTTCTACGAATGGGAAGCCGCAATTGCGGACCTAATAACCAAATCAGATCCTAACAATGAGTATTTACAATGTATGAAAAAGAATCTGTACGGAGAAGGAGGAATCTCAAAGTAAGCGTAGAAAATTTTCTTTCTATTCCTAATTATTGTACACTTTGTGACAGAACTACGATTATCATCATCGTGATTGTAGTAGTCTTTGTTTGCGGAATCGCATTCGTTGCGGTGATAAAAATCAGAGCAAACTATCACAAGGTAAGCTATATCTGATTGCATAACAATGTGCTACTTGTATTGTCACAATTTCCGTCTCGAACAGGTTGGCAAACGATTTTCAATAAATTCAGTCAAAGGCAGCGTCCCCTCAAAATCATGAATACCGCGATTCTACAGAGTTGCAATGTAGACGCACTAGCTAATCTATCAGTGAACTCTGGACGAAAAAGCGATTCTGGAAAGCCCAAAAACCGCTTCGGAATTCTTTCGAAACAACCGCTTCCGGACTCCATCCACTTCTCATACGTAATTTTGTGCGAACGCGGACGCGGATTTGAAAAATCTTATTTTTGTCATTTTCAAGCGCTGAAAAGCTCAGATATGGCTTCAGCATGGCTGGAAGGCTTCGAATAGGTGAAAAACCGGAAAGCGAAATTTTGCCGGGACACTTTTTCTAAGGCTCAACGTCCTCTAGGCTTTCGTTGCTGCTTCTTACAACCCAAAATTTCTTTTGCATAATTTATCATTCGTAATCGGTGCAACAGTGGATCTCTGCTTTGGTACATCAAATAAAGTGGGTAGATAAGACCAAAAATGGATTGCTGATTTTCGGTTTGAAAGAAGAGGGACGAAAGGGTCTGAGAGATATGATTTTTCGTAATTTTTTTATTCTTTGAATGGAAGGAAAAAAGAGGGAGGTAAAGACAGTGGAAACTTGCGTTTACTGAAATAGTCGTGATCGATATGCATTATACCAGCCTGCTCCACACATTCCATCAAGACTTGTTTGAGGTTAAAGCTTTTGCTTTGGAAGCTCTCAATATTGAAATTCATAAAACGAAATAATTCACTTACGAGGAAAGTATTTTCAGTGACCGTGGCTGTTTGATATGAAATGCATACCTTCTGAAGCAGCTTCGAACGCTGATTTCAAATCTGTTTTCCGTTTCTGCGGAACGCTCTTTTGAAGAGAGTTATGGAAGCCCGAACATCCTATTTTGGGGGCGCTCCTTGAGTTTGAGGGCGCTGCTATGTGCGTTGGTGGTGCAGTAGTGTAATGGTTACTTGCTGATATCGAATGCGAGAGGTTGATGGTTCAAATCCGGTAGAGAGCGAGCCATTTTGCATTTTGAATGTGAGTTTAAAAGCACTCTAAATCGTCTGTAGACACTTACTGTAATGCCTTAGCACAAACAGGAGAGAAAATCTTTTCGACTAATGACAGTGTGCATTTTTGAGCTTTATATGGTGACAAACGTGCTACGCCATGTCGATCTTGTTTTACTAGTAAGGAAGTCAGAATTTCAGGCTCTCATTGCAAGCAGTTTTGCCAGAAAATTCTTTTTCTAAGTCACTTATGCCAAAGGCATTACAGTAATTGTCTGCAGGCGATTTAGAGTGCTTTCAAACTCACATTTAATAAGCAAAATAGTTTGCTCTCCACCAGATTCGAACCATAAACCTCTCGCCTTCAATATCAGCAACTGACCACTACATTACTGCACCACCAATGCACATAGCAGCGCCCTCAAACTCAAGGGGCGCCGAATGTTCAAGCTTCCATAACTCTCCTCAGAGCGTTCCGCAGAAACGGAAAACAGATTTAAAATCAGCGTTCGAAGCTGCTTCAGATGATTGCATCTCATATCAAAGGGCCACGGCCATTGATAGTACTTCCCTTGTTAGTGCATTCTTTTTCCACTTTCGTGAAGTGAGCTAGTATAACTTCTTAAATCCAATCCAATCAGGACATCACACCCATGCTGGGCCGCATTTATCTTGCCAAATTGAATAGGTCTTACTAGTAGGCTGTTTTGCCTTTTTACGATGTTTTATGAGATTGTCGCGCACGACTGAAGACATCTAGAGCAGGATCAAGTCGGATGCCCTACAGTAGGATACTATACATTTTCATGTTAAGCATCGGCCATATCTTGCGCGATTTCGGGCGCTGCGCAATCTGACATTGCTACAATGGTTCATAATTCTTCGTTAGCGCCTCGGTAAGCAGAATTCGACATTCATGCATCAGCTTATGCAAACTGTGCGCTTGTACATTCGTGCGAGCGCTGGATTAGTAGCACGTGAAATCGTCATCGTTGGCCCTGCAAGTCAACTATGGCAATTTTTCGCAATCGCGCGAGGTACGACAACCGAGGAGTTATGATATATGTGCCGTAAAAAGGATCAATTTTGAGGAAAGATTGATTTTGAGGAATGTTTGAGTTTGCTAGGCTATACACAGCTGTACACATACGCAAAAACCAGAAATCGTTTAGTAGCGTTGAGTGCTATTAAAATGTTGCCAGCCTCTGATTTCTGGATTTTCTATCCTATGGTTATTTGGTCCAAACAATGAACGTGATGGATATCAATTTTGTGATCAGCATGCAGTACTTCCGCACGAAAGATCTCGTTAAAAAGCATGACATTAATCTTGACCCACTTGACAACCACATCCTATCATAAACGACAAGGTTCGAAATGAATAGGTCGAAAATCAACACCTCGGCAAAATCCTCCCGCTCAAACTTCCAAACACATGTTATGGATTCCTTCCAAAAAACGCTATCATTTCGGACCAAAAACACCCACGGCCGATTGAGTGCGATTTAGTCTTTCAGTGAACTGCTGATAGTGATAGGGTAAACACAAAAAAGTGCTTTGAATTTGCTCGTTTTAAAGGCAGCGTCCAGGCAGTTCCGAGCTCGACGACCACGCCCACTTCCCTCGGACGGCCAACCCCTGATGAACGAAATCTCCTCAGCCTTGACATGTTTTCACATGACCAACACAGTCGAACTTACAGCGTTTACCTGTTAATACTTGCTTTCGACAAGGATAACATCAGAAGCACTCGTCCGGGTTTTCCCAAAATAGCCCCAAAAGGTGGTTTTCTGAGAAATTCACTCTTTTTGAGTTCCATATTCGGAATCAGCGCCCTGGAAAGGCCTGGATAACATAAAAATATAGAAGTCGAGGATCTGTCTGGACGCTGCCTTTAAGATACCGCGAGAGCAGCATATGATCGATATACCTAATTTCCCCCCCCCCCCTCCCCCCTCCCCTCCCTTCCTCCCACATGCGCGACCACAGTTTTTCAGTGGAAAAAAGACAAGCAATAGATCAGGCATAAGATAAAAAGTGACATTTTCAGCAGCAACTGGCACTGACCTGGGAGCAACGCGTGAAGGAGGTCGGAAAAGAGCTGGAAAAGCAAGGTGCTCCTGGTGCAGGTGAATCCAAACCAAAATAAATGTGAAGAAAAAAGATAGAAATAAGAAAGATCTTGCATGTTTTCGTTCTCATTAAACATTTATAATGCCTTTGCAATTCTTTGCGAAATTTTGAGTATAATTACTTAAAGCTTTTCAAGAAGTTGCCCTATGGGCCGCTACAGACGGTCACTTTGAAAGGACCTTCCTATGAGCTGCATACAGACCAATTTTCCAAGAAAGAACTGTCTTACAAACCTCTAAACCGATATTTCAACAAAATACTGCCCTAAGAACCGGTCAGAAACCTATAACTTATAAACGAACCTCCCTACCAGTTCCCCAAGAAAACCGCTCATAGAATTCGCATCAGCATTTTGAATGAGAACTAAGAGTCGCTTACTCAACGATATCATGAGTAATAGCTGCTCTACGATTACTTCTATAGACAATGTTCTTAAAGAAGATTTTTCTATGAGAAGCTTATAGAGCGACGTTTGTAGAAAGTAATTCTTGTAACTTACACAAAGAACCGCTCTATGGGCCGGCTAGAGACCGATAGTCAAACAAAAGAAGTGCCCGATAAACCGCTTGCAGACCGATATTTGCAAAAGAACCATACCTTCGATAGCCTAGAGACAGGGCGTCAAAAGTGAAGGTTGTTTGAACATATGACGTCATAAAGTGAAGGTTGTTTAAAGAAGTTCAGAGAAGAGAATATGACGTGAAACAGATACAAAAAGCAAAAGAAACTGCTGAAAACCGGGTAAAAACGCTGCAAAGAGGTCTGAAAGCCTTCATTTGGCGGCTTTTCAAAGTGCAAGTTCTCGCTCTAGGACCAGCAATTCGCAGCACGGGTTTGATTTTGATGCGTCCTTCAAATTTTTACCCCCGCATTGACGTTCTTGTTTCCTGGGACGTTGTCTGGATTGTTGCGCTTATTGTTGTGAGCAATAATCGCCCAAGCTGGTAAAAAATCGATGCGAAAGCACTGAAACAGAACAAGGTAAAGAAAAATGCCCTTTTTACGATTTTTAGCAAAAAATTCCACCATAATCGAAGAGGTAAGGGCTGGGTGGTTGTCTGCATTATGAACAGAAGCAAGATCTATAGAATGCATAAAAAAACCACGTGAAAATAGTTAAACTAGGAGGAAAACAAAAGATTTTCAAAAACCAGGTTTTTGCCGGATTTCTCGATCAAACCAAAAAATGTGGTTCTGGGACGTAGTCAGCGTGAAAATGGAGATCAAGAGCTTTAAAATGATATATGGCTTGCTAAAATTGGGTTCGAAACAACGAAGAAAAGGGTACCAGAACTAAATCCTGAGCCCCGCGTTTGGGGTAGCGAGGTAACGTGCAGCGCGCGGAGACGCAGACGGGCAGCGGAGACAGACCAGAGCCGATGGGGCATTTGGCTCTGGTAGTAGATCTCCGCGGGATCTCAACGAAACCCTGCAACATTATATATCATTCTGATCATCATGACACACGGGGAGAACTGACAACGTCCCAAGCTTTGAAAATCCTCATTAACGAGATAGACCAGCGTTTTCGTGCGCGACTCTCTGCGCAAAATTTAAGCGCAGTTTCTCGTTTTTATTTAACTTCAATAGCTTTCCTAAATTTCTGAAACTCGATTTTATTCAAATGAGAGGATAACTGAGAAATTTTCTCTTGAATTTTGACAAAGATTCCATAGAATCCTTCTTTTTAAGAAAAAAAAGGCCATAAAAACGCAAATTCTTGGTTTCGCTGAGATAACTAAAGATATAATTCCCTATATTTGCTTCATTAACATTCTTCCCGATATAGTCAGGATAATAACTCCGGGTCGAAGCCCCGGATAACTTCTGTTTTTTTCCAGGTGAAGGTTGTGTCCCCCCATAGCCCTCAAAGTGAAGTTTACTAGAGTACGTGGCTCTATGTATCGAGGGTATGAAAAGAACTGCCCTACGAATTTCCAATAAGTCGATGATGACGCACATGAGGAGCTTACAGACCGATATTTCCAGTAAATAAAACTGCCTTATACGTCCTTATAAACCAATACTTAAAAAAATTCTGTCCTAGAAGAAGCTTACCAAGTTGTCATTGAAATTATTAAAATTCATTAGATTATCATTGAAATTTCTGCCTTATGGACAGCCAAAAGAGTGGCAAAAAATACCCTACGATCCGCTTGAAGACCTAAAAGAACGGTACTCTTCCGTTATTCGGAACATTTTTTCAAGGAAGTATATCGCTTCTATCGTTGTACCATACCTGGTCCCAGCTTTACAGGAAGGAGTGTCAACCTTTTGCCGTAAAAAAGACTTGTCAACTATATGTATGACAGGTTTCACCAAAATTTTGCGTTAGCCTACTACTGACGTAAGTTCAGTCTGTTTTTTAGTCAGTTTTAACCTCATTCCAACTGAACAATTTCAAAATGAACATTGTCATAATAATGAACACCATACTATTATTGATGAACAGGTTGAACTTACTCAGAATAGATAAGTGCGCTAGAACTCCTCATTTGCGAGAGAAAAAGCAGAGGTATTTTAGGTTGCCATTTATAGCCTTTTTCGGCTAAATTCGCATGGCGAAAAGGGTTTGAAAAAAGGAAATTTTTGAATCACTACTGAAAGCAGTCAAGATGTTTTAAACTAAGTAAGATTGTTTTGGTCTTATGGAGAACAGTTTATCAGCTTTAAGGCGATCACAAATTCTCATCTACCTCAAAGGAAAAGTTTCGAGAAACATCTCAAAATGAAACAAAACGTGGCAGTTTTTTGTGACAGGTGGCAAGGAGGCAGTACTCGTAGAATCTATGAAAATTTATGCTTGGACTGAAGAGCGTATTATGTGGCAGTCTATTGAAAAAATGAGTCCGGATATCGAAAAAGTGGCAAAAGAACTCCTACGGGCCGTGTTTAAACCATTTCTACGAGTACAAAAAACTTTTCTCATCAGTCACCACCGACTTTCGTTGATTGCCATGAGCAGCCAGATACTTGAGCAGGAAAAGAGAATGTGAACAGATTATAACAGCATACGTAAAGTTGTAAACTATCGTAACATGCTCACATCGAAAGCAGACCGAGTTAGTGCCAAGGGTAGCAAAAGCTCAAAAAAATTTAGAAATAAATCATACTTATAAGTAAAACCTTGTGGAACAGAGGAGAGCTTTCAGCAAGCAAGCAAGAGTCGCCACCTCAAAAAACAGCGTTTTGCGCTTGGTGGTCCCACCCCTTTCTAACACACTTTTCGAGGAAAAACGATGCTTATCTTCTCCAATCACACTCTGTTGAAAATCTTCTCTCACATCCGTCGCAATCACTCGCCCCATTTCGCAACATGTGAACAGATAGTGCAAATTCTTACCATTCCTTATCATAGACTAGAATATGAAAAGGAGTTGAGGATGACGCATTGCCTCTAATGCCTTTTGAACATGTAAGGTTAAGCGCTCTTCGGGACTGCACTGCGGTTTCTCGCTACCTGATGATTTTCAAATTGGGCTTACGATTTTTCATATATTAGATAGAATGATTTTGTAAAGCTTCAAATCGAGTATGCATTAAAGATATCACCTTGTGTTTGCTAAAAAGTTTTTTCCATTTTCTTATGCTTGCATAGACATAGAAATGAAAATAGTAGCGCTCATTCGCACTTTTTGATTACAACGCCTTTGCGTTTTTTGCTTACTAAAATTTGCCTAACGGCCTATAAAATGCAATAGATTGAATGTGACAGAAATGCAGACGAAAATCAATGTATTCAATCCATTACTGTTAAGAAATAAGTAGGTGGATAAATCGCAGTGCAGTGCTATTCACGTTGATATCTGAACTATTTTGTCAGTACAGCAGCATCGGAAATCTGCAGAAACTCCTTTCGCATCAGACAGATTGCAATTTGCGTCACTCAATAATGGTGCTATCCTATAACAAGATTTTCCCTCAACAAGTTTATCTAGAGATAACGTTATGTAGTACGATACTGCTTGCTAAAATAACATTGCACTTTGGGCCAAAAGTTTGCTCCGACTTTTAAAATATAATGAAGAAAAAAAGACACTGTGCCGTTTGTTAAAGGAGCAGCCAAAGTGTTATTATAAGTTTTATTCAATCGGCTGCTGCTCAATGCTTCAATCTTCTCAATCAGCAATTCGCAAACATCAAGTTCACACTGAAAAAACCATTAAAACTGGTTAACGTTATTAAGCGTACGAGCATGGGTGCGTAATAAAGGCGAAATGGTACAGCAAGACTAGCTGTGAATCCATACCGGCACGTTACCTGTCTGTGCACTTCGGAAACTCAACAAGGTTATAGGTAATATAAGCAAAGACTATAGGTACCCTAATTTCACGCGTCCCTTCATGGTCTGCTGCCTCAACTTGGGGTGCCTCTGGGTGTAGCAAGAAGGTCCGGATTCACGCGTCAAGTCAGCTAAAGCAGACCTCCAGGTCATCATGTCAGGATCCGTTGCCACCTACCTGACAACGCCAGTCAAGTCGAGAGGAGGCAAAAGCGTCGATGTCACTAAGGAGCAGCGACTGCTTCGACACAGTCTAAGAATGCCTCATCCCGGCTGTCTAAGGTATCGAGGGAAATTTAATAATTTTGTCAACTTTATACCAGTCGCTCCCTGCGCACCGTGTTCGTCTGCCGCTTGGGACGTAGGATGGCAGTACGACCGACCCGTACCTTAAGGGGCGAAGGAATTTTAGGTGCAAAACCGAGACGTCCAAAGATCTCTTCGGTAACAAAATGGGGGAACATAAATGTCATCAACTTTTACTCACCCACAGAGGCAGCAAATGAAAGCGAGCCCGACAAGTTCTACGAGAAGCATGAAGACGCCATTTACAAGGAGAAGTCGTTCTACAAGCTTATTGTCGGCGACTTCAATGCAAGGATAGGGGAAACAAATCCAAGAAGATGACAGAATTGGGAAATTTGGTTTGGGAAGTCGCAACGAGAATGGAGACAGACTCGTCGGACTCATCGCAGCGGCTCGACTATTTTATGGAAACTCCTTTTTCCAGAAGA